CAAAAGGCAAGTGGTGCCGGTGAAAGAATTTCCACTACCCAATATCGTCCCATGTGTGTCATAAAAGGCGACAAAGGGAAACTGAAAGAGGCGATGGGCAACAGCATCTTCCTGATAACAACTCGAAATAATAAAAAACTGTGGTTGACAACCCGCTGGCCAAGCGATGGCAAATATCCCCCCTATGAGGAAATTTATAGGGAGGCCCATGTTGAGCAGTGGATTTTTATAGGCTGTAATGGATTATGGATGATGGAAAAGGCAGGAATATTTTTAGTTATTTTAAAACTATCATGGTAAAAATTTAGTTTATTTCTAATTAAATAGTGTAGTGCACAAAAGTTATTCAGTTCTGTGCACTAAATTATTTTTTTAGTCCTTATACCGGAACAAAAATTTTTCGATAGTCCTTTTAAGTAAAATGTACATCACTAGCCAACTCACACAATAACAAATCAAAATTGGTCACGCATTTCCGGGCTGTCAGGTCGTCTATACGCCAGTATATCCTAAGTCTATGTTTTACACAATGTATATTACATTCAGAAAACCAAAAATTTGTGCTTACATCTGATACAATACTATTGTTAGGTAAAAAACTGGTGCCTAAACTAGGTAAAACCTGTATCTTAGGTCACCATTTTATTCCCAAGGAGCGTGATATAACAGAAATTAAAAAAAAAAACAGAAAATCAAGGTTACGGATAAATAAATAACATGACAAGAAAAATATGGAGTAATAAATATGGAGAGAATAAGAAAAATATAACAATAAAGACTACTGGTGGCATCGACGTGTCGTTTTGTGACGTCACATCGCGATGCGGAGCAAAGCGGTCGCCCTTACCGTAAAACACCATTTTACCCATCAATATTTCAGTCATTTTTAAAGGTAGAAAAAAATAAGAATACCGTTGAATTCGTATTTTTTTATACAATTTTTTGATACCCATAACAAAATTGGGTGGCCAGACCCATTCCGTACAAATACTCGATCCAAACACCTGTTCCACCTAGTCTATGAAGTACGCATAAAGTTTGGTATTGTTGGAATAGCTTACACTTTAAAGTATGCTTTGTCCGTACAGCCGATACGTAAAGGTAATGAATAGTAATCATCCATTCGTACTTTACATAGGCTTTAGACTGTCAACGTCAAGATTTATCTACATTCTAAATTGTTGTTGTATTTAAAAGGATTCAGTTCATTTATTTTTTCAGATGAATCCGATTTTAGGCTTTTATTCGTTTAGTTTTGTTTCGTTTTTTAAATTACCTATTTAAAATCATTATTTTTTCATAAACGCGTAATAAATTAGTCTTAAGAACTTTAAAAACTAAGTGGTATTTTAAAAATGTCACACTCAGTCATTTGTTGACCTTTGTCCGTAAAATGATCCCAAGCGACATTGTTTCCGTAAACTTTAATATCTAAATAAAAAATAAATCGAAAGACCTTAAACCACATAACTAAACTTTGTTACGAAAACCTATTGCTAAATAAGTCGAATAGGTATCATCAATACGAGATCACATTCGCACGAGTCCGTACTAGACACTCGACTGCATCATATGGTCAGTATGGTCTCCGTTCGTACCGAGTATGTACACAAGTACCTAGTGTATAAAATCTGCCTAGTGTTTGGTTGAAGTCCCGACTAGTCTCGAGTATTGACAGACAAAGATAGAAATAAGCAATAGTGTAGTGAAAAAAGGACAAAATATTTTCTTGCACAACACGAGTGCGCGTCGTGTTATTTTTATACAGGTGTCCCAGAACTCAACGTCAAGCCGAAACGGGGTGACAGGATTGATTGTAACCATCATGAGAAAAATCAGAAAAAAAATCTATCCCATGTAGTTTGGAAATTATGGGCATTTAAGAAAAACCTAGAAATTTGGTCTAACTGTAACTATTTTTCGGTTATTGTGGTGAATTTTTACTATTTTTGTTCATTTAAACTTTGGAATCTTTGTAACCCTAAATAACAATTCTAGAACCACAGTCAAAAATAATGACACAACTGCCGCAAGTTTTCTAGAATTAAGACTATTTGTTAAACTATGAATTTAAAATTTTCAAAATTTGTTGACATTGAAAGGCCCTCCTTTAAAAAAACTATCATGTCGCATGTAAACTATTAGTGGGAACGGTGAAACAAGTGCTCTGATGGTGATGTGATTCTCAAGATAAGGTGTCTGTTTAGGCGCCTTGAGATACCATTGCCAACTGTTACCTATATGTTAGTTCAAGTTGCCGTCAAAATCTTCCAAGGGCTACACAATGTGACGCACTAACATAATGTGAAGCAGTGTACTATGAAGGATAATAATTATACTTTGTAACTTCAGGTTCAGAAGGGCTAGATCTCATAGCCGTAAAGCCAGTTATATAAAAAAAGTCATCCACAAATTATAAAGTTGCATAGATAAATATATATCACAAACTATATAGAAACACTACGCGTTCAGACGGACGTCTCTGGTACATTTATTTTGGTCCGTAGAGCAAATCAGAACATGACATTTCGTTTTTTTTAAAAATATGAATTGGATATAGGCAAGGGAATAATTTTATTTCAGCCCAGTATAATTATATATATAGTTATATACCAATATAATATTTTTATATTCATAATTTTAATAAATAAATATTAATTAATAATTACTATTTTTATTATTATTATTTTATTATGAAGGATTCGTAGAAATAAAATGCATTGTATATATTATTTATTATATGATTTATTTTTTTAACTTTTTTAAACTTGTTCAAGGTTTGTTTTTGGATTGGTGGCAATGTACACTTTTCGATTCTAATGATGTCCGTGCCTTTCAGAAACCCATGCGTGGTACATGCTATAGAGTAAACATATAATTCCTCCTTTGCTGCTTGCACTTGAATATTTTCAGTGAAAAGGTTCTCTTCAATACATTCGATATCCAGTGTATTGAGCTGGAAAAAGGAATATTTAAATATATAAATTACAAGTTTAATATGCACATATTAAACTTGTTGCTCATTGTAATTGTTGTAGTTTATAAATGTTTGCATAGAAAATGTCAAGACAAGAAGAGGCCATTGTAATCAGATAAAGTTACTTTCACATAAATCTAAGAAGCTTTCACAATTCAGAAATTTCCAATAATTTTTGAACATAATTATCATTGATACCTAAGATAATTAAGTACACTGTAGCAATTTTTGATAGAAGGTTGGGAAGATAAAAGTATATTTTGTAAAGTAGCCAATTATCTATTGGAGTCTATGTTCATGTTCTACTGCTGGGCACAGACTGTCTCATTTCTCAGAGGGGTATGAAACAATGAGTTGGACAAGGTGCTTATTGGTAGACTACATCTTTAAAATATTTTTATTCCTTAGACACACAGATTTCGTCACAATGTTCCAGAACATGATAAATTAGCACTTAAAATTGGAATTAACATTAATTCATTTATTTCAGGGTGTAGACAGAGATCAAATTTGCTCAAAAATATAAACATATTACTCTATCATAAAAATATTATCTGAATTAAAGTTTTAGAATGGCGATTGTTTTGCAATTTCAATTTTACATGATTATTACCTTAATTTTTTTACTTCGTTGGGAATCACATGGTCATCATTTAGTTTATCTAACAAGCGCAATTGAGTATGCTTGCAGTCCTGTTTAGTACACATCATCTTGCCATTTTGATACATTTTAATCAGTTATTATGTGTTTTGACAGCAAAATTATTCCTCATACCTTTTTTTATGATGGCTGATCAAATATCACACTAAATTTAAATGAACTGTATCATCTGAAATAAAAACATAAAAGATTGTTTGTCATTGTCATTCAGACATCCTTGATTTTGTAATTATTAAAACTAGAGGTGTGCGATTGTGCATAAAATAATGTTGACAATTAGTTATTTAAAATAATAGAATTCCTCATTTACTTCAGCCATTAACTTAAAATTTTAATAAATTATTATAAAAAGAATTTATTATTGTTTCATTCATCATTCATTCATTGCAGACTATCATAAAGCTACTGGTAAACATAGGCCTTCATAGGTTATCATATAAGGTGTACATTTTCCATAGTAGTAACACTTGGCAGACAAGTTGGCAACCAGTTTATTATTATTACTAAGTTGTTATCAAAGAGATCACTTGAAACACCAGGAATTAAGTAGTTTTATTTAAGTACAGTACTCCCGTACATCTTTATTATAATTTTTTAAATTTTATATGAATACTGAATATACTGAGCAGTTACGTTTATTAAGGAATAATTAAATGTACATACCTTTGTCATCTTTGATGATAAACCTAACTCAATTTACTCCAAAGATTAGTGTTGAGTTTATTCAACCTTTTTTAGCCTTATTAATGTCAGATTTAGCAGTATGAAACCCCTTATTCAAAAATTTTGTGACCAAGCAGGCTTCTTGAAATGGTTACTGGAATGCAGCATACTTTTAAGTTTGTCACAGTTTATAAAGTCCAACCACTTGTTTCTTTGGCCTTCGTCAGACTCTTCTCTGTTACTTGCACAATTGGGAATGAAACACTTAAAAATACATTTTAAAACTAAAATTTTTATACAAAATACACTAAAGCTAAAGAAAACGTCCCGTCGAAATATATAAGCTATAAAACAATAAACATACTTTCGTAAAATAGCAGTAAAATGCCAATAAAACTTTATTTATAATTTATAGTTAGTTCATACTTCATAGAAAAACAAAATGGAAATTTCCAAGAAAACTTCTAACTTGACAGCAACGCGACAATAACATGACAAAATGGCGGCAGTGGGAAGGGGCAAGAGGTGGGAGGGACGAGGGAAACGTCATGTTCTGGATTGCTCACTGCATTTCATACGGTCAAAGATTTTTGCTCAAAGATTACCAGCCGTGATATATATGTAGCAAGCTATAAAGTTGTATGATGCTACACTAGCATTGCTAGTATACAGTTATCTGTGGTATGATGTATGTACTATGTACAAGAAGTCATCTGTCAACCGTTAACCATTAAAAAAAATTGGTTAATAGATTTTAGGTCTTTTGTTTTCTCTTTTGCGTGATTTCTTCAATTGTAACGTGTGTGTAATGTTTTCGTTTCGGCCGGCGGTCACCAAATTATTTTTATAAGCATTATTATTAAAATTGTGGCAGTTTTCCTGTTATTTTCCAAATGCAGCACGGCTACACTCTCGTTATCTTCTCATATAAAAAACAGAGATTAGCAACTTTACCCAAGATTCCAAAGAAGTGTTTATAGTGTATATTCGTTTCTTCATCTGTTAAACCTTTGGTTGTTTTATCTTATAAGCGATGGCTATGAGGAAGAGAAGTGGATCAGGGTCTAAAAGACACCTTAAAGAAAAAGTTGTACAAATTTATGAATCATTCTTCAGAGGAGAAGACTTAACGAGCGATAACCCTACATTTTGGGATGAATTTTTTCTTCTTAAACCGAAAATTCCACAATTAGAGGCTGAAATACATAAATTGTCAGTTGAACAACTTGACAATATGAAGGACAATATAAATATGCTTGTAGCACAATGTATTGAAATGCTTGGGCAAGAACATCATATTAGGTATGATTTTTGTGTTTAAGTCATTGTATTGTGGCATTTTGATTTTTTTTAATTATAGTTATATCCTTTGGGATAAGTCACTTACCATCAAGTGAACTGTGGGCTTAGCTTTCCATTGATGGAAAGACTTTCCATTGACGTCAGTCGAGTTTGGTGTTGATACATATTTTTACAGAAAGATTACATTTTTATAAGCACACACACAAAGTTTCAATATGCGGAAACACGTACTTATTGAGAAAAAAATATTGTAAATCAAATAATTTTGCAATATTTAGTCAATTCCTACCGTGAAACTGACACCATTTTTATTATTATTGTCAGTAGGGATGTCGATTCTTTCCGAAAAAGATCTATTTTGGCTTAGCTTTCCATTGACGTCAGTGGAGTTTGGTGTTGATACGTATTTTTACAGAAAGATTACACTATTATAAGCACACACACAATGTCTCAATATACGGAAACGCGTAATTTTTTAGAAAAGAATAATTGAAAATCAATTATTCTTGCAATGTTTACGTCTAATTTGCTAATAAACTGGCGCCATTTTGTAATGTCATTGTCGACGTCAATAGGGATGTCGATTCTTTCCGAAAAAGGTCGATTTTTAAATCGATTCAAATCGTAAGCGGTTCACAAAAAATCGATTTCTAAAATGTCTATATTTTTTTAATGTTTCTATTTATAATGTAAATATAAACCCATTTTATGAAAAACAAGAAAGATAACCATGATAAATGATCTCTTATTGAAATTTGTTTTATTTAACAGTACCTATTAGGGCAGATAACAAATAAAATAGGTTAGGTTCAACTTATGTCAAAGAACCGAATTGATTGACCCCGACTCCACCTGGTACGAGTCTGTCCTACCCCTAGAGTGGTTTTATAGAGCCGGAGGCGCATAGGGGGAGCAGCCTCCGCCTGCTGTAACAAATCGTAGGCATCGGACGAGCCGGAGCGGCTGAGGCTGGTCGCCAAAGGCGACCAACAAGCCGAAGCTGTGGAGGCGAGGAGGGATGCCTGCGATTTGTTACGCTAAGGCGTAGAGGTTGCTCTTCCCGCAGCGCCGGAGAGGTAGCAGTCTCAAAATAGATACAGAAATCTTTATGAATCAGTCCCCTTATTTTTTTCTCATAAAATGGATTTATATTTACATTATAAATGCAAACATGAAAAAAATATCGATATTATAGAAATCGATTTTTTAGGAATCGATACATCAGCTTACGATTTGAATCGATTTAAAAATCGACCTTTTTCGGAAAGAATCGACATTCCTAGTGACGTCGACAATGACATTACAAAATGGCGCCAGTTTATTAGCAGATTAGACATAAACATTGCAAGAATAATTGATTTTCAATTATTCTTTTCTCAAAAATTACGTGTTTCCGTATATTGAGACTTTGTGTGTGTGCTTATAATAGTGTAATCTTTCTGTAAAAATACGTATCAACACCAAACTCCACTGACGTCAATGGAAAGTCGTACCTCTATTTTTTAAATAGATTCGAATTGTAAGCTGATGTATCGATTCCCAAAAAATCGATTTCTAAAATATGTATATTTTTTTCATGTTTGCATTTATAATGTAAATATAAATCTATTTTATGAGAAAAAAATCCCCTTCATCATAAAAAAATAAGGGGGCTGATTCAGAAGGATTTCTGTATCTATTTTGAGACTGCTATGTCACTGGCGCTATAAAACCACTCTAGGGGTAGGACAGACTCATACCAGGTGGAGTCGGGGTCAATCAATTCGGTTCTTTGACATAAGTTGAACCTAACCTATTTTATTTGTTATTTGCCCTAATTGGTACTGTTAAAATAAAACAAAATTCAATAAGAAATCATTTATTATAGTATCTTTCTTGGTTTTCATAAAATGGAATTATATTTACATTATAAATGCAAACATAAAAAAATATAGATATTTTAGAAATCGATTTTTTATGAATCGATACATCAGCTTACGATTTGAATCGATTTAAAAATCAACCTTTTTTGGAAAGATTCGACATTCCTACTGGCGACAATGACATTTCAAAATGGCATCAGTTTTATGGTAGGATTAGATATAAACAATGCAAGAATAATTGATTATATGTTTCCATAAGTTGATAGATTTTTATGGTTTATAGTTAACCATTAAAGCATATTGATCTGATGGGCTGTTTTAACTATTTTTGTTCTATTGTAGATGACCTTATAGATTTGTGTATAATTTATGTCATAACACTTTTTCAGACTTGTGTATGCTCTTCAAACATTCAGTGCACTTTTGACAACAATGTATCAACGAGCCTCACAGGACTCCAATATAAATATTAAGATGATTTTACTTGGCAATGATGATTTTAAGATGCAAAAATTATTAGAACACTGCAGTACTGTTTTGTCAGGTAAAATTATTTTTTTAAAATTATTTTATCTATAATTAATTAATTTGTGAATGCCTCGTTAGTCTAGTAGTTGTAGTAGTGTGCGACTGCTGATCATGAGGTTCTGGGTTCAAATCCTGGGTCGGACAAAAAAAAGAAAAAATTTTGAGTTTTTCCATCAAGAAATTCTCAGTAGCTGCCCAGAGTCAGAAAGTTGGCGGTGTCTCACCCCCGTACTTTGGCAAGTACGTAAAGCCGTTGTTTCTGCGCCTGTTCTCTCTCCGGTCGTGTTGGTTTACCATCCCATCGGACTATGAGAGTGAGGGAATAGAGGGTAAACCTGTGCTTGTGCATACATTTGGGCACTACAATGCTGTCCTATGCTGATGGTTAGTCTCAGTTGAGGCTGGCCACTGTGACTGAAATTCGGTTTGGAGGACATTATTATTATATTAATATGCAAAGATAAACCTTTGTCCTCCTTTTTAAGAAAAAGAGAGAGAGAAATTTGGCATGGTTAAAATTTAAATAGAGAAGGCGCTCCTTCTCTATTTAAATTTTAAAAAAGAAAGCTAAAATTTAGATATAATATTGGTTACTAGAACATAAAATAAAATAAAACATTCATCATTCATACTGCCAATGTCAATTGTTAAACAAATAATAGTCTATGGACAAACAGTCGCACAGAGTAGAGATTGTCACCAAACATTTTTAATAGTTTCCCTGACCCCAAAACAGACAATAGTTATGGTTATTCTCAACACTACTTTTTAGTTTTCATACTTTGGTTCTGCACTTGGATTGCCATCTTAGTCCTACTGTATAAACACTGTGAAGCATACCATGCCTAAACAAGTCTCTAACTGTATGGCCAGAATTGTGCAGTTTGAGCATTGATTTAAAATGTAAAGATATGATTAGAGATCCGAATCCAAACCTATTAGATTAACTAGCACTATCTATTAGAACCACATGTAATGAGTGTGATCGGTATGGGCTGTATAAATGACGTAACCATGTAAGAGTAATTGAGGTTGAAAAAAACAAAACTTTCATTTTCTATAATTAACAATTATTGTAGTAACAATACTACAAAGTGCTTCTATGAAGAAGTTTTGATGTAACAAAGTAATCATTAGCAATTCATCCATCAATTACAGCCTAGTTGCTGAACATAGGTCACCCCCCCCCCCTCCCCCCTCCCCATATACCATAGATTGCCTCATAAAGAAGGATTTGCTATAGTTTCCACAACAAAACTTAGCTAACTGCTTAGCAAAATTTACGACAGTATCCGCGGCAGTCGACCGCACGACTTATAATACAATTCGGTATAAAGAAGACCATTTTAGGACCACTTTGGCTTAATAGCGCCATATTTCAACGTGAGTCGTCCATACGAAACGAATTTTAAAATAACCCTGTACATTACAGTACAGGGTTATTTTTCAAAGAATATCCAAATTTAAGTTCAAATATTAACCGTTACTGTTATTTCAGTTTTTGAAAATAGGAGTTAATAAGACTTCCACTTTCATTTGAAATCATCCCAAATTGAGTGATTTATGAGCAACTGCTACGCGTACGCGCGCTCCTCTGTGTGTGTTCAATTCACAATGTTTTTGTCGACCGAGCGAACCTTACGAATGTGTGCGTGCGTAATAAAATAGTAGGCGTTAGATATTTAGGGAAGACAATCAGTTTAAGTAATACCATGAATTCTGAATTTTAAAATATAAAAAGGACAGAATGTTTGAGATTTTTTTTTAATTTTTCTTCACCATTTGCCTGTACATATTACTTTTTTGAACATTCTCTGCAAATTTGGGCGTATATTGCAAAATAACCCTGTATAATTCAAGGATTTTTAGTTACTTCTTTAGCCATGTTTGAGGTACCGAGTCGAGTGTCTTCTGCAGTTTATCCAGCCGCCAGAAAAATGTTGACGGTTTTGCTTAACCTTGTGTTCTATCCAGGTTCCCGATAAGTTCTCCGGCTAACCACGCTTTCATTTATTGACCGCTCTATGTCACCCTATTTAAAAAAATACACTTGGACTTCTTCATATATATATATTTAAATAACAGAACTCAAAAAGTCGTTATCAATATCAAATAAAGGTAAGAGTTCCTCCGCATAGAGAGTAATAATGGGTGAATCCTCAGGCCTTGATTCTTGACTCATTCCTGTTCTTAGGCTATATTAATGACTTACCTTATCTTGTATGAGACAATTACGATATAGTATTATTTGCATCATCAATGCCTTATTAATTTTTAAGCTCAAACGGCAATTGATTAATTATGACAATGTGAATAATGCTCTATCCAAATTAGTGCTTAACGCCAACATTTTGCTTTTAAATGGCAACAAAATAAAATGTATAAAACTTACAACATTTGAATACCAATGTTCTCTTAAATGGGGAGGAGTAGAGTATTGTGGATTCCACTGTTATTCTTGGAGTTCTACCGACGGGAAGCTACAATGAGGCCCCCATATATCTTAATTAGCAGACAGACTTAGTTCTGCAGCTTAAGCTGTAAGAAAGTTTAGAAGTCTCACCATTTTTGAAACAGCTAGATTGGTTTCTTTGAGTTACTTTCATAACGTAATGTCAATGTATACGCTTTTATAACAAAACCCCATAAAACCTTCTTGTTTAAAAATGTTATTAAACAAAAAGTATATGAAAAGGGTCATTATAATGTTAATGAATACACTTAATAATAATACTTTTAATTGTAACAATATTATATTGAAGTAGCTGTTCCCCGCGACTTCGCTCGCGTGTAATTTAGAGTTTTAATTTTGTTGCGCGGAACCCTAATTATTTTTCCAAAATATGAGTAGCCTAAGTTACTCCTTATAATATCATATATCTAGCTATCCTACTAGTGAAAGTTCTGTGAAAATCGGTCCAGCCGTTTCGGAGATCAGCCGGAACAAACAGACTGACAGACAAAAATTTAAAAAATTGTGTTTTTGTTATAGGTACCGTATATACTTCTATATGCAATTAGTAAAAAGCTGTTATTTTGACATTACAAACAGACACTTCAATTTTTATTTTTTTGTATATATTGAATAATAAATTATTCTATTCTATTTCTTGCCAAGTAGTGCACATTCAGGTGTGATTTTTTTTATTATTGCTTTATTGTACGCCTCATAACGCGAAGCATTATTAGGTAGTGCATTACATAAAGTCAAGCAATTTCGTGTTCTTAAAATGCCTCTATCATAACCATATTGCACTTACACGATAATATGAGTAGTTGTATATCAAGAAAACATTCTAATTAATCCATGTTATATTCTCTAAAAATTATATTGCTACTTTGAAAAAAAAAAACCGTTTGGAAAAATTTTACGTGAACGTCCGGATGTTGATTTTCTATATTATGGTCACGATAACTCCCGAAAAAATTGACGCATCAGATGAACTGATATCCTTTTTCATATCAATAGCCTAGTACCTCTAAGATTTCATTGACTGATGTAGTATGAGTTTTTTCTTAGAGCTTCTCATTGGTACCATGCATCAACAACTATTTTTATTTAGAAGTGTTGGCATGGGTTTTATTTTAGTGACTGTCTTAAATGTTTCAGGTGATGTTCCGGACAGTCTTAAATCTATGGTTTTAAAACTACTTCTGGTAATAGCAACTGGAGTAGATAACATTGATGATAATCCACTAATGGAATATTTAATGTTGCATTCTTTGTTTGAACCACTTATTCAACTATTGTGTACTTCAACCGAGAGGCAGCAACATGGTAAGTTTTCACTGAAGTTCAATACTTGTTTATCAATTGAGTTTTGTTCCTAAGATATTCTAACAGAAAACATTTGAATGAGAAATGATTGTTAAAATTATGCCCTTATACTTTCTTCTGTTGTTTGGGGGGGGGGGGGGGGGGTTATTGGGTGAGACATTCAGGCTTGCAAATTATATGAAAATTATTTTCACACATAGTTCTTCATATTCTACTTATATTTCTTCTTCATTAGTTTGTCTATTTGTATGGGGGAGAATTTACTATAATTGCCACATTTGCAATCTTTTTGCGATCTTGCAGCTTGGCGATCACAGCGCCAAAGTCTCGCACCTTTAATGCAGCTCCCTGTCGCTGGTTTGGGTATTTTACATCTTGCATATAGAGATGTGGCAACAACGTTCCATCTAAATTACCTCACTGCGGGACCTCTATGCCGGAGGTCCGTATCACAAATAAGGAGGTTCTTAAAACCTTGCGGTGTCTAGACGTGAATAAAGCTAGTGGACCATATGGTATACTAGCTATAATTCTATAGTTCTAAAGGCTTGTGCACCTGAGTTGTCTCCTGTGCTGACACGCTTGTTCCGCCTCTGATTTAGAACTGGAATAGTGCCAATATCCTGGAAGCTGGCCAACGTGCAGCCTGTTTCAAGAATAAGCAGACGTGCCGACACTTTCAATTATCGGCAAATCTCGATTACCTCCATACTCTGCAAGATTATGGATCGCATATTAAACGCCCGCTTAATGGCATATCTAGAACTGTATGACCTCCATAGTAACCGCCAATACGGGTTTCGCTGAAATCGGTCAGATGGGGACCTTCTAGCATATGCCACACACGTATCAGGCGAGGCACTAGAAAACAGTGGGGAAGCACTTGCTGTTTCCCTTGATGTCTTGAAGGCCTTTGAAAGAGTTTGGCACGCTAGCCTTTTGGGTAAGCTTCCAGCGTACGGCTTATCCCCTGGTCTGATTGACTGAGTAAAGGACTTTCTTAGGAACGGTCTCTACGGGTCGTCGTCGATTGCTGCTCATCCGATCCTGTTGCGAGTAACGCCGGTGTTCCTCAGGGGTCCGTTCTCTCCGCAACTCTCTTCCTGTTGCATATTAATGATCTGCTTATGCCCGGTATCTATGAGTATGCAGACGATAGCACAGTTGTGGAGAGATACCAAACAAGTCTTCGGGCCAGTTGGGATCACATCCAGTCCGAAAGAGAAACTATGATAGAGCGTGAATCTCACACTACAGGCAAAAAGGGGCGATGCCAATCTTGAGAAATTCAACGCCTCAAAAACACAAGCGTGTCTCTTCTCTGCAAAAAGGATCTTGGCTCCTTTTTTCCGAAATGTATCACTGCAATACACCGACAGTTGTTAGGGGTTGCGATATCCTCAAATCTGAACTTCCGGCGGTTCATTGAGTCCAAGGCCAAAGCAGCTGCAAGTAAGTTAAGAGTTCTTTCAAAGGTGCGGCGATACTTCACGCCAGAACAGTTGCTTACTTTATATAAAGCGCAAGTCCGGTCGTGTGTGGAGTAGTACTGCTTGCTGAGGCTTGTGCTGCAAAATGCCACCTAGCAGCTTTGAACTCCCTTCCACCATCGGACAAGACGGACGTTTGGCCAGTCTCCAACCCTTCGTTGTTGACGTACCATGCATTCGAACCAAATGGTTTGCTACATCGTTCATCAAATATACAGCAAAAGAGTGGAATAAGTTGCCAGCATTTGTATTTCCATCCGATTACAATGTGGATGTCTTCAAGGCAAGAGTGAATAGGTTTTTGTTAAGTCAGTGCACTTCACCATCTTAGGCTACAACACCACTTACCATCATGTGGGATTGTAGCTAAGCACTGGCTTAGAATAATATAAAAAAAGAAAAAAAAAGAGATGGGTTTACTGCCATCTATTGAAGGCTATGAGACCTTAGTGGCCTTATTCATATGCGCCTTTTATGATTGCACAAACCAAATGTAAAAGTAGCATAGTATAGTAGTGTTGTAAGTCATTTCATCAGATTTGATAGACCACAAATCCTTAAATAAGAAATTCAACTATTGAAATTAGAAAATTAAAAAAGACATTCTTCCAGACCAATACAACTTAGGGAAAAAAGAGTTTCAAGAAATGGCATACCCCTTGTTAAAAAAAACTGGCAATAAACCTGCGATTGCCCTGGTGTTGTATTTGTTCGGATTCTCTTCTCTAAAACAATCCTAATTTCAATGGAGAAGATGATTGGGTGCTATCAACTGTTTGGGATTCTAAAATTAAACAAGTTATAATACAAACCTGGGCATATAATCTATGCAGAATGAGCTGACATACTGTCATCTCATTCTACATAGATTGGGCAAAAAGTAATTGTCAAAAGTTGAAGGCCTTTTTTTTTTCGTGGGGAAATCCTCATGGATACCTCCGGCTGCGGGGGCAACCGGAAGGTTATGCCGGACTCCTACCGGCTAAAACCCCACGGTGCCTCCTCGCACGTGCGCGCGGGGCCGCGGGAATCCAAATTCTTCCGCAGCCCCACACTAGTGCTGGCCCGGTCTGTCCGGGCCTCGTCTCCTGAACGGGGTAGCGAGGTGTTCAGCTACCCCCCTCCACAGCCTCCAACTCCACCTGCGTATCGGACCCCCCGAGTCCGATACGCGGAGGCCATGCGGTCCGGAAAATCGAGCGCTTAATAGCGCCCGCTTTCCCGACCCCAGCGGCGGATCTGGTCTCGGGCTTCGCCGCCAACCAAGTTTCGGCCGCGGAGGGTAGGGAGAGCGGCGCCTCGCAATACCGACACTCCTCTCCCCCCGCGGCCCCACCACCAACGCATCAACGGTGCGGCCGCGTTTGAGTCGCGGAGGATAGGGCGAGTGGCGCATCGCCATACCAACACTCCTCTTCCTCCGCGACTCCACCTCGGCTGCAGCGGTAGAGGGAGCGGACACCCCTCTCACCGCAGCCCACCAACACACATCCGATGTGGGCTCGTCAAGCCCACTCGGAGTGGCCACCTCGGGCCGGCTCTACACCTCGGGTCAGCCAAGGGGTTCCTCTTTGTTCACCGTGGTTGACCAAGCCACGGCTACTAAGTCCCCCCGCCACTACAAGGCGGGAACCCGTTCGGGGGGGAAAAGTTGAAGGCCTCGTTTAACTAGGACATCAGGATGTTAAATACCTGTGACCATGGATACTTCAAAAAAAAAAATCCGAAACGTCGGAAAAATTAAAAGTGATAAAATCAGTAAATGATTACTTAATCCTTCAGTGCTGTAGGTTACCCTGCAGCATTACGCTGAGTCATAACCTTTTTGCTGGCTACATACCCTATCACTTGTAGTTTTAATCTGCCATATGTCTACCTGTCTTTTTTATTTATGTGATGTATATATATAGTTCCAGTGAATAAATGTCTTTCTTTCTAATGTTATCGAAATGGTTGACACTTTTACATTTTGATTGTGTTGAAATGTAAGAAACAAGTTATTAAATGTAGTATCTGTTAACTATTCGACAATTGGCTCAAAGTCGAGTCAAGTTACTCGATCATATTTATGCTTACTAATTATAAAGTAAACTTTATCATGATAATTATCTAATTCATAATTATCGTTAATTATTTTCAAACCTTATCAATTATTATAATCTAGAGTTAGACACTGTTGAGATTAGCTAGTGTTTGAAATGAATGACTTCATTATTTTATTATGTATATCTGGATTGTTTTTATGCCCACAATTGGGCAAATGCTCTCTCCCCTCCCCTCATTATCAACACAACACTCTTTTCAAACCTGATTTGACAGTCGACAAGCAACAATTGTCCACACTTACCTTGCTGGGCAAGTACGAGGGGAGGTCATAAAGTTCGCGGAATGACAGGGAAGGATAATGAAATGAAAAATTTAAAGTATTTTTCCTTTTCAATGTATTCTATCTTAACCCTAATACATTTATTAGATCTGTCAAATAACTTATTAATACCGTCTAAAAAAAAGATTTGACTTTACTTCATCATTGTCGCCAAATTTTTCCCACGCAGTTCTTTCTTCATTTTTATAAAAAAATAATAGTCGCTGGTGGTCAGCTCTGGGCTGAAGGGTGGGTGGCGCAGTTGTTCAAAACCGTACCGGTGAATGGCAACTGTCGGAAAATATCTTGTGTGCACGGGCGCATTGTCGTGCAAAAGGAGCACGCCTTTTGTAAGCTTTCCTCGCCTTTTTCTTTAATAGCTTCTTTTAATTGATCTAGTAAAGAAGCGTAGTATTCTCCCGTTATGGAAACACCACGTTCCTTATAATCAATCAAAAGGATACCTTCTGTATCCCAAAAGATCGTCGCCATGATCTTTCCGGCCGATTGAGACACCTCATACTTCTTAGGTGTGCGTTTTTTATGCCATTGCATCGACTCTTGGTTTGACTTAGGTTCAAAATGGGGAACCTAACTTTCATCGCCAGTTACAATTCGGGCCATAACTTCCTCCCTTTGCTCTCCAAAGCTGTCCAAAAACTCACGACAACTTTCGACGCGCTCGTGTTTTTGATGCGCAGAAAGCATTCTCGGAACCCATCTTGCACAGACTAGTCATGCCAAGGTGTTTATGTAGGATGTTTAAAATGGTTGTTTTTGATACTCCAACTAATGCCGCAAGCTGTTTTTTCGGTTATTTCTGGCGTGGTAGCCTCAATCGGCCGTCCTTTCGGGGGTTGTCTTCAATGAAGTCCCTCCCTTGTTTGAAAAGGGTGTGCCATTTATAAGTCATGGTTTTCCCAGGAGCGAAGTTCCCATAAACAGCTGACATCTCTTGAAAAATGGCTTGAGGTGTCTTTCCTTGTTTGTTGAGAAACTTAATGACGGCGCGATATTTGATTTTTTCCATAGTGGCTAGTTTCTTCCCGATTGACTTTTTTTACTCGTTAGCTAGTGACCCGATTAGACTGAAACTTGGTATATATACTAACAAAGATTCACTCAAATAGTGCCTACCTGGATGAGTAAACTCACCCTCGCAAACCCCGCCATTCCGCGAACTTTTTGACCTCCCCTCCTAAGTTGATCACCATTTTGTGAAATTTAGGCTCAGCAGCTATTTTACGCCCTTTAGTAAAACTACAACAAAGATATTTTAGAGTGTTTTCTATTATTTTACAGGTTATGATGTTGTATTATTATTAATGTTTTTGGTTAATTACAAGAAACATGAGTCGGCTAACCCATATGTAGTCAAGTTGTCTATTCTTGACGATGAATTAGCTTTAAATGGGTAAGCATATTATTATACATTTTACTAAGTAATTAGTTACTAAAATTAGAAAAGCAGTAGGTGATATTTTCGTATTAAGTAAATAAATTAGGTATTAGAAATTTTTAACAGTATGTTAACAGTCAGCTGCTCAATTTCTCCTTTAAAGTCTTTCCGACATCTCTGATATACCTAAATCGTCTTGCCTGAGAGACAATTAGATATTTTACTATCACGTAGATATTATACACCATATCTCATCAACGTCTCGTACAACAGAGATGCAAATTTCTAGCTGTGAACTCTTACAGGAAGATTTAAACAAGAATCCAAAATTATTATTCTGTAAAGATTATATTCCTTACATTCTATATTATATATTTTTTTACATTCTATATAAGTATAATATAGAATGTAAGAAATGTATTAAATATTCTATATTAATGGATTATATACATTCCATTCAATTTATGCATTGTGGAATACAGACCACAAATCCTTACATATCTTATATTCATAAGAATATATGTATACTCTTAGGCTGTGAGGCATTTCATTTTAGTCCTCATGGGTGATATCGCATCTGTAACTTTCTTTGTTTGGAGTCGGTTGCAGATGTCAATGGCCTGCTGTGGCCACTTACCACAGCTGGACTGTAAATTCAATTGATATTCATCATCATCATCATCATTACAGCCTTTCATAAGTCCACTGCTGAACATAGGCCTCCCCCAAGGAATGCCACAAAGCACGGTCCTGAGCCACCTGCATCCATCGACTTCCTGCATGTCTTACCAGGTCGTCACTCCATCTCGTGGCGGGTCGCCCTACACTTCGCCTACCGGTACGAGGCTGCCACTCAAGAACCTTTCTTCCCAATCGGTTGTCGGTTCTTCGAGCTATATGGCCAGCCCACTGCCACTTCAGCTTACTAATCCGTTGGGTTATGTCGGTTACTCTGGTTCTACTGCGGATATACTCATTTCTGAGTTTATCACGCAGAGAAACTCCGAGCATAGCCCTCTCCATAGCTCGCTGAGCGATCTTGAGCTTCCTCATACGGCCAGCAGTGAAGGACCACGTCTCAGATCCGTAAGTCGGCAACACGCACTGGTTGTACAATTTCGTTTTAAGGTTTTGAGGTATGTCTGACGAGAAGATGTGTCGTAGTTTTCCGAATGCTGCTAGCCGAGTTGAATCCGTCGATTGACCTCTCAGTCGAAGTTGGACTTACCTAGTCGGACTATTTGTCCCAGGTAAACATACTCGTCAACAACTTCGAGCTTAGTGCTCCCAACAACTACCGGCATAGGTGTGACATGGACATTAAACATGATCTTTGTTTTGTCCATGTTCATCCTAAGACCTATTCGTTGGGCACGTAAGCACCATGCTCAATCAAATGATAATCAAAAAAAAAATCAAAATGCTCAAAAAACGCGGCAGCTTTTGCTGTACGCACGGATGGGCCGGCTCAAACCGGAGTGGTACCACGACCTCACAGAATACTAGCGTGAAGTAGAGGTTGACCTCTGCGTTTCGTTTGGTGAGTGCAGGTGGCCGGAGGCCCTTTTTACTGGAAATGAGGCAATCCATCTTAGTCCTCACGGGTGACAACGCATCTGCATTTTGATTCGCAAACGAGGATACATGTAGATGTCTATGGGCCGCAGTTACCACTTACCATCAGGTGGACTGTGTGCTCGTTTGTCACCCTTATCCTATATAAAAATAAAATACCGTATCCTTTCCAGTTCAGAAGCTTGAAAACGTCTTCCAATGCAGCGGTGAAGAGTGTCGGGGGTATAACTGTCTTACACCTCTCTGCAATTGGATAGGTTTCGTACTCTGGTTCTGTACTCGGATAGCTATCGTAGCTCTACTGTACAAACACTTCAGCAATTCGATATACCGACAGTCAACTTGGCACCGCTGAAGGGACTGCAGCACCGCCCAAATTTCGACGGAATCAAAGGCTTTCTCATAGTTAGAGGGCAATGAAAAATAGGGCAGGTAATGGGGGAGTCAAAACAACCTCATACCAAGCAATGTTTGGTTTTCCAATGAAAATTAAACTAATTGTGGAACAATATATCACCGCCGAAAATGTAATTTGGAGAGTTACAAAGGCATAGTGGCAAACTGTACTCCTCGGACTTCTGTACAATTTGCCGAAGGGTATGTATGTGGTCTATGGTGCTAAAGCCCTTTCGGAAACCGGCTTGTTCCGGAGGTTGGAAGTCGTCAAGTCTGCGCGCGAGACGATTCGTAATGACTCTCGAAAACTGCACGTAGACGCGGCTCAGAAGGGAAATCGGTCTGTAGTTCTTCAAGAGAGCGTTGTCACCTTTTTTGAAGAACAAGACCACCGCACTTCTGCTCCACGCCTCCGGTGTAACGCCACCATGGAGGACGGAATTAAAGAGCCTCTTAAGGACTTCAAGTACAGGTCTTCCACCCGCTTTCAGAAGCTCCGCTGTAATTCCATCCTCGCCTGGGGCCTTGCCGTTTTTAAGGTGCTGGAGAGCCATTCTAATCTCGCTCAGACTGACGTCCGGGATATCTTCGGAATAGTGTCGGTTAAGACTCGCTCTTGGATCGTTACTCACACTTGCGTGTGGCTCCAATGATGATGTGTACAGCTGCCCATAGAATCTCTCAATCTCCCTCAAAATCTCAGGTGCCCCGGAAACGATGCTACAATACTCGGTCTTCAGCTTTGACAGATGGATCTTTCTGGCAGACAGATCTCTGGCAAAGACATTGGACCCTTGGTTCCGCTCGATCGCTTCTTCAATACAAGCTGTATTGAAGTTGCGTAAGTCCCGCCGCATGCATTTGGAGATATTATATGATATTCACTATGACTATAATTTAAATTCATAAAATTTTATAAATATATTCTACACCATACCAAAAAACTCTGGTACATGTTAATACACAAAATGTTACAAACGAATTGGCCAATACTGATTTTTCAACCATCTTTGAAACCAAAGATGCTAATCTTGCCGCTGATATATTAATCTCCAAGATTTATACATGCATCACGCAAAACACCAAGTCTGTCAAAGTCTCGTGTAGAAAACGTATACTAAAGCCCTGGATTACACCCGGACTCCTAAGGTGCATACAAAACCGCGACAGCTTGCATAGCAAAATGAAAAAGGATCCAAACAATGTAGTAGCCAAAGTCACATATCTACGTTATCGCACCTACTGCAATAAACTATTAAAAAAATTAAAATGTCTCTACGAACGCAGCGAATTTCAAAAAGCTAAAAATAATCCCAAAGCGACTTCGAATGTCATCAAAAGCATAGCTTATCTCACCTCCTCTTCATCACCTTCTACGGACCTACTAGATCTAACAAATGACTCTAATGTCTCAATAAATTAGGTCAATGACTTCTTTATCAGTATTGGACCAAATCTAGCCTCCAAAATTCTTAAAAATCAATATCTATCAGTTTCACCTAAAACCTCAATAAAATCATCTCATAATCCTCTTGGCAACTCCATGGTTTTATTAGATACAGATGAATCAGAAGTTGAGAAGATAATTATAAATCTTAAAACAGATAGTGCTACTGACTATGACGTAATCCCTTCTGCAGTTATTAAGGCTGCCCGAAATACACTTGTTCCTCCTATAACATACGTCTACATTCGTTCTCTTGAGTCAGATGTCTTTCCAAAAGCCTTCAAGAAGGCTTTGGTACATCCAATCTATAAGAGTGAGGACAGGAGCAGTGTCAATATTTATAGGCCTATATCAGTACTCATTTCCCTCTCGAAAATAATGAAAAAAATTCTTAACACAAGCTTATTAATATTTGAACAAATACAATATCATTTCAGAAAATCAATACGGCTTTAGGAGTGGCTTATCCACAGAAGACGCTGTTATGGATCTATTCAACTTAGTAACTAAAAACATATCTATCGAAGGCCTTTGACACTGTTGCTATCCCCATCCTACTTCAAAAACTGAATAAAATTGGCATAAGGTTTGGCTTTGGACATCTTTCGCGACTATCTCTCACAACGCAGACAATGTGTCAAAATAGATTATTTTCTTAGTGATGATAAATATCTTTCCTATGGAGTCCCTCAGGGCAGTGTGTTAGGACCGACACTGTTTCTGGTATACATAAACAGCCTCTGTCGCTTGAATATTCCGAATTGTCGCATCATCACGTACGTAGATGACACTGTTCTCTTGACCCACGACAAAACTTGGGAGAGTGCTCGATGCCGAATGAAGGAGGTCCTGCGTGTTTTCTGTCTGTCTCAACGGTCTCTGTGACAATCTGCTGACCTTAAATATTGACAAGACCAAGTACATTACCTTTTCTGCATCAAAAGCATCACAACCTAAGCCTAATCCCTCCTACATCAAAATTCACCACTGTGACATGACACTATAAATGCAAACTGTGGAAGCATGGCAACAGAACAGACTGATAACATTAAATATCTGGTAATTATACTCGCCAGTACCCTTACCTGGATACCTCAAATAAATAACATGACATCCCGGGTTCGAAAAGTTATTCCATTTAAAAAAATATGAGGAATGCGGCGAACTCAAAAACCTTGAAACTGGTCTATCTTGCGCTGTCCCAGTCAATTATGACCTATTCCATCCCTTCCCGGGGTGGGCCAGTTTTAGAAAATGAGTGGGGTCATTTTCTAAAACTGGAGCGAGCACAGAGCAGTGTTAAAGACTAAAAGTATTATCGTTACCCTACTACCCAACTATATAAAGACTGTGAGGTGCTTACAACCAGGCAAGTCTACATACTTCAAATGATACTTCGTAGACATCGCTCGCTCCCACTGGAACAGCGCGCACAGAAAGTAAGTCGAAGACTGGAATACCGGGTATGAGAGCACTCACCCCACAGAAGTGCTTTGGCTCGTAGACAATACTATGTCCGAAGTAGTCATGTGTACAATAGGATTAATAAAGAACTAAATATCTATAAGGCTACCACAAGAAAGTGTAGGCTTTCATACGAGGATACAGATGCGCTTTTACGATCCCCCCTATACAGCTAGCTAAACCACATCTATGATAAAGTCGTAAGGCTCATCATACACTTAGTGAGCACAATCAATCCCAAGATGTTTAAAATAGGGCAGGGATTATGCACACATTAATACTCACACACAGACACACACACACACACACACACACACACACACACACACACACCCCCACACGCGTACACACAGGCGCGTGCCCGCACGCATGCACGCACGCACTCACGCACGCACGCACATACACACACACACACACACGCACGAACGCACGCACGCACGTACGCACGCACTTCAAACTTCTACGTGTACACTTGCAATTCAATCATTCACTTTTATACTTGCTCTTAAGTAGTGTCTCCACGTGTAGCGGTTTCAATATTATGTAGTACTAAACAGGGCATTTCTCTAATTGTTTCCTATAAATTAGCGATTCATATAATGTTCTTATTTACTACACAAATACTTAGTTACTAGCTGTGCCCGCGGCGTAGCTCGCGAATATAGGTTTTACTTAAAGAATTTGACGTTTAGGGTAAGAGAATATTAAACGATTTATATCATTACTGTATGAATAAGTGGTAACAAAATAAATCGATATGCTCAAAGTTCTAAGTCGTTTATGATAGAGCTTCTGTGTAAACGATGACAGAAGTAGACTTAGCCGGGGCGTACAGAAAAAGGTTACGGGGACTACTAACGCGAGAATAAGCAACATAGAGCTGGCCATGTGCAAAACAATCAGTACTGACGCGTAAAGTTTGACCTTGCGCTTTATTTACGATCGTCGCATAACACACGCTGAGTGGGAAACACTTAAAATAGGGATGTTAGATGATCATCGATGTTAAAAATTAAAACTTCGATGTTTTAACATCGATGTTGACATATGTCAAACATCGAAACATCGACGTCAATGAACCCATAATCGATAATTGGGAACTTGCAAACAATGCGAACTCGCGAAATTAATATCAACTAAATCTTGCAACTGCTCTGAAGATTAAAAATTTTGAATAATTCAGAATTTCTGAACGCATCGTTAATCTAAAAAAATGTCAGTATGGTGAGTCAAACTTAATTGTCAGTAATGTCACAATGGTCACTGCTTTCGCTTTATTTTGTAGTGTCGTTGTCGGTTGTCGCATAATAACTATTCTACGTAAATTGATATTCAAGTTAATTGTTACTTTTCCCTTGCTGTGTATACCCACATAATTTTGAAACAATGTGTAAGTATATACACATATACAAAAACCATCGATAATGGTCAACATCGATGTTTTGAGTAGCCTAAACATCGAACATCGATGTTGAGCTAGCGATGCCAACATCGATGTTATTATCCCTATCTTAAAACTGAAGCCTGAGCCGTAGTAGCTCAGATGGTTAGCGCTCGCTGTAAGCTTCACAGTACCCGAGCAACCCGGGTTCGATCCCCGCCGGCACCAACGAAATTGTTAATTGCAATTTTAAGTGCTGATTTACCACGTGCTCGGCGGTGAAGGAAAACATCGTGAGGAAACCTGCATGTCTGAGAAATAAAAAAATAATATTTCGATGACATGTGAAGTTCGCCAACACGTATTGGGGCAGCGCGGTGGACATTTCCTTGCCCTAAAACCCTCTCAGAAATGAGAGGAGGCCTGTGCCCAGCAGTGGGACGTAAATAGGCTGCAACTTTACTTTACTTTACTTAAAACTGAAAGAAAAGTTATTTGGTATTAGAGGGATTCTGGTATAAAACAATATCACTATCACGACATTTATTGCAATTTTGCTACTTTTAGTCGAGTTTTGTTGAATAATTGAATATTTCAATACCTCTTTTTTCTGGTTTTGGTTTCTGATGATTTTTGTGGTGTGTTGTTAGCCTACACGGCTCTTACAGGCAGGCAAAGATTATTGTATATATATACCTTACAGGCTTGCAACTTTGTCAGACTTATGGACACAAAATATTACAGTGAGTTTCAATACGATTCACCTGCGAAAAATCTTAACACCGCAATTCAGAAAAGGTTGTAATTTGTACAACGCCATCTATTACGTTCTTTGTGAGAAAACATCCTTTTTTAATTTAAGGAAAACATATTTTTACTGTGTTTTAAGTACTATAATAGAACGATACGAAATATATTATAATAGAACGTTTTTTTTTACACACGAATCTTTTTATTACTATTTCTGAGATTTTGTGGCGTCATTAAACAAATTCGAACCTACATTTCAAAATAATAATCATGACTTTCGATAGAATTAACCAATTTCAATAAAACAAAGATTAAATGAACTTGATAATACGCTTTATGATTTTCTTAAGGATTTCATTGAAAAAAAAAGATGTTTACTCAAAACGTCATGCGTCCATAAACAAACAGACAGACCGTCAGATAGTACAATTCTAAAAATTATAAAAATGTACTTATTTAATGATTTACAGTCCCCATAATGATTTTAGTCGCAAATTAATATACTATACAATATTCAGAAACAGACATAACATGTTATTACCATTTTTATTATATGTATAGATTTAAAGAGAGATTGCGCTGTTAACATCAATTCTAAAAATAAGAGATTAATTGACACGATTGATACAATAAAAAACATAAAAGAACTTATAAATCAGTGCCTGCATAGTAAGCAAAAAAGAAAGTTTGATCCTCGCCGAAAAACGAAATTGTTAATAGCTCTTAAAATTTGATTTACCACATAGAGTACTCGGCGGTAAAAAAATAAAACATAAATGAGATTGTAAACACGCAGTAGGGCAGCGTGTCATTAATATAAAGGTTAGAAGCAAATATGAAACTCAACTACAGGAATAAATTTTAACCTGCCTTTTTGTATCACATTTATGCCACACCACCATCTATCGATGAAATTGGTTAACTATTGTACTTTAATTTAGATAATAAGGTTAAAATATTTTGTATATATTTATTACGTTCTTTATGTAATACTTTTGTTTACTGCGTTTTAGATATAATTATATCATTATAGAACATTATTTTACATCATTTAATTATGATTTATAATATGATATTAATTTTAAAATGTACTTGATGACTCATCCAACGCCACTATTGAACAAATTCGTACCTATACTTAGTACCCATACTTCAGAATATTTGTCATAACTTTTGATGGAATTAACCAATTTTAATGAAATAAAGACTAAATGTAACCTGAATATACACTTAATAATTTCCTTAACTATTCTTATGATATAAATTAGTACTTTATACGTGATACGTTAACAAACAAACAGACAGACAGACAGACAGACAGACAGAAAAATCTAAAAATGGTAGAAATGTATTTAATTACTTATTTTTAGTACCTCTCAATCACTTTTATTACAAAAATATAAAATGTACAGACATCTGCTATTTACATTTTTATTATATGTATAGATTACTATATACCAATGGTAAATAAGTAATATTTTAGGTATGGTCAAGTTATAACGGCCGCTTTAAATGACTACGTAATATCGACGCAAGGCGAAGGAAGTGGAGGTGGCTGGCTGTCTTCTCTCACAAGTATTATGGGCGGAATATTTCTTACCAGCGATGACACACAACCAGTGGTTAAAGGTAACAGGAACAGGTTAGTTAACATTTTAGAAGTGCTATGTACTGTCTTGTTTTTAAATTTCATAGTACACGAGTAAACCACGTACAACCCCTAATGCTCAACTAAAATTGTTAATTAGAATTTTGAGTGCTGATTTACCACATTTTCGGCTCTCAAGGAAACCATCATTAAGAAATTAGTATGTTTGAATAAATAAAAAATAAATACATTTTAAGGGCATTTGAAGTCTGCCATCACTCACTAGAATGAAAATGAAAAATGATTTTTTTGATTTACAATGATACATTTTATGTCAGTTGCAAGGGTATTAGTGTACACTTATTCTAGGTTGAAGACCTGTATTACTACTCAATACCCCGCTCATCCACTAAGACAATACAATCATATTCAATAAATAACAAAAGGCAAAAGCTATAGATAGGTCAGTTTCGTCGAAGTTTTGTGTTAATAAAAACTGTTACTACACATTTAATTTTAGTTCATGTTAAAGGGTAAATATTCAATCTGCAAGAATAGCGCGTTCTTTAAACCTTTTGGGGTTAGAAGAAAGCTTTTGTTTAGAACTGTTACCTTTTCTACTGTTACTTTATATATATGTATTTCTAGTTATGTCGGTATTTATAAAATGTACTTACATAATAAAGTGAAATACTATATTTTTACTCAATTGTTCTTCTTTTAAGAAAAGTCAAAGCCCCCACTGACCGATAGTTTCCACAGAAAATTACAAACATACTTTTAGAGTATTTTCACTTAGAGTTCATATTTATGCAACTCATTTCAGCCCCCTCTAAACGACGCACGAAACACCTTATACAAGGATTATCGCGTTCCTCTCAAGGAACGAAAATTATACTATTATATCTTCTGCTATCATACCATTAAAAACAGACGTAACGCCCTCTTAGTCCACTGTGGAGCTAATTTTTTCAATAATTCGATATCAAACACGAATATCTTCTTTCTCTCTGCTCACTAAATGAAAAGGAAAAGAGACAGATAAACAGATAATTAATACTTAATTTAAGTAAATGATGATGAACAATTATAAGGCCGTTAATTGTTTGAAATAATCTTTCTACAGCGGCGGCGAAGAAGGCATGCTTCTAGCTCTCTATGAGGCCGCTCACCTAAATCGAAATTTTATGACGACATTAGCACATTCATCGTCAGCCGCAGCCTCGTCTGCGCCGCCCTCCCCGCCCGCCACGTTACCTCCACATCAGGTATTATTTACAAATTTACAAATATAAAAGCTAAAAATTATCGAACATTTTCCAAAGCACTTTAATTCGTTTCATTTTTCTGCTGACTTCCAAAAAGGAGACGGTATTCAATTCGACTGTATTTTTTTTTGTTTTTTTTATGTGTGTTACCTCATAACTTTTTACTGGGTGAACCGATTTCGATGATTCCTTTTTTATATGAAAGCTGATATATCTCGTGTGGTCCCATATGAATTTAATCAAGGTCAGACCAATAGTTTTTGAGTTATTCTTAATAACTTATATTGAAGTCGGCAGTATAAAATTTTCTGCCGACTTCCAAAAAGGAGCCGGTACTCAATTCGACTGTATGTTTTTTTTTTTCGTTTTTTTTTTTTTCGTTTTTTTTTATGTGTGTTACCTCAGAACTTTTTTCTGGGTGAACCGATTTCGATGATTCTTTTTTTATTTGAAAGCTGGTACTTCTCGTGTGGTCCCATATGAATTTGATCAAGGTCAGACCAATAGTTTTTAAGTTATTCTTAAATAACTTATATTGAAGTCGGCTGTACAAAATTTTTAATTTTAAATTATAAATTATTCAGACAAAACACTTTACGGGCCATGCAAATAATTTCACATTAAAATTTTATTTGAGATTTATTTGTATGTAGCTCATACTACTCGGCATACTATACCGGCTTTAATAAGAACACTCAATATCGTCCCGTACGCGTAGTTAGACGCGTCTGTCGCATCAGAAATCAATCCACTAAAAATAAAAAATACGGTTGCGAACCCTCTTGCCAAGCGTCGTAACTTTGGCAAATATCTCCCATATGAGGCAATCTATTGGGGAAGGCCTGTGTTCAGCTTTGGACTTAGATAGGCTATAACGGTAATGCGTAGTCATACTAAAAGTGCTACCTGTGCGTGTCTCAAGTGATGACTTACTGAAGAGAGATTTGGTCGTTAAAGAAAGGTCTAGTCACTCGGCGAGCTGTTGAGAGTGGATTAGTTAGCACTAGCCCGACGAAAAAGCTTGAAAACCAGCAAACCAATGAAGAAAAACGTTTCGAAAGTGGCAGCCATGTCCCAACAAGTCCAGTTATTAAAACCCGCTAGGTGGGATGACAATTTAATGAAACATGCAGGGGGTTATGGATCAGGACCGTACTTTGTGGTGATGTTTGTTCACTATGACTAGTAATGCTCTGTAATAATCAAAATAAAAATAAAAATCCTTATTTCTAAACCTCTTTTTTTTACGTACTGTTATTACAGAGCCCGCCGAGCTTAGCGCAGATACAAGCACTTGATAACGACCAACCAACTAATTTGTTGGTGACATTCTTTCAATATTGGTAAGTATTTCTTAATTATCGTTGGTCATTTATTTTACAATACATTATTTTTCTAATTACAAGTTATTTTAAGTTCAAATTTAAGATGACAACATGGATAAAAACCTTTTGTTTAATTAAAACTTAAAATTTGTTGTATGGCGTGACAACTATATGGCGGCCCCCCACTAAATGCAAGACATGCGAGAACTCGACGGATGCAGGTGGCTAAGGACCGTGCTTTGTAGCATTCTTTTGGGGAATCTTATGTCCAGCAGTGGACTTGTGAAGAGCTGTAATAAAGATGATGATGAAGTGACAAACGAGTTCACATAAAATATTTTGACTTTAAAGGCACACAGATAGACACAGATTTATCGGGAAATATACAGGGTTATTTTGCAATATACGGCCAAATTTACAGAGAAGGTTCAGTACAAGTAATAATGCGAATAAAAGTAAAAAAAGTTAAAGTTGCAGCCTATACATACGTCCCACCGCTGGACACAGGCCTCCTGTCATTTCTGAAAGGGTTTTAGGGCAAGGAAAAGTCCACCGGACTTCCCCAATGCGTGGTAAATCAGCACTTGAAATTGCAATTAACAATTTCATTGGTACCGGCGGCGATGGAACCCGGGTTGTTAGCGTACTGCGAAATTTACAGCGAGCGCTTAGCCCCTTAGCTACCGCGGCTCTTATATATTTTTTTATTTATTTCTCACCACAAAACAACAAAAACATTAAAACTAAAAATTAATAGCTATTAAACAAAAATAGTTAAATATAGATGTGAGAGCGAGAATTTATGACTGCGCGCGTGCGCATGTGTGTGTGTGTGTGTGTGTGTGTGTGTGTGTGTGTGTGTGTGTGTGTGTGCGTGCGTGCATGCGTGCGTGCGTGCGTGCGTGCGTGCGTGCGTGACGCGTGCGTGCGTGCGTGCGTGTGCGTGCGTGTGTGTGTGCGTGCGCGCGTGCGTGCGTGCGTGCGTGTGTGTGTGTGTGAGTGTGGGTGTGTGTGTGTGTGTGCGTAAAGCCTTGTTCAAATACTTTTAAATTCCATAGAGTATTGTCAAAAGATATCGTTAAATATTTTAAAACTTTTGATGTTAAGAAACCGGCAGACTTGTGGGGGATTGCCGTTAAAGTATTGCATCTATAATAGATACTGTAGCACCTTATCTAGCCACAATTTTTAATACAAGCGTCGAATCTGGTGTGTTTCCTGATCTAATGAAACAATAAAGCCACACCTTTATTTAAATCTGGTAGTACATTAGACCCCGTCAATTTTAGACCAATTTCTTTACTACCAACATTAAGTAAAATTTTTGAAAACCTTATTTTAAATCGGATGTTAAGCTTTTTTTAATATAAATTAATTGCTTGATAAAAATCAATTTGGTTTTACAAGGGGTCGCTCGACTACCGAGGCTGGAGTCGAACTTATAAAATATATTTTTTGTGCATGGATGGTATCATGTGCATTCAGAGGATGCTTGCTTTGGGTGTGTTTTGTGACCTTTGAAAGGCCTTCGACTATGTTCACCATGAGACATTAATCAGGAAGCTACAGTACTATGGTGTCAAAAACACAGCGCTTAAACTTAATATTTCATATTTAAGTAATAGAATGTAGAAAGTTATTATCATTGGTAAAAGTTCTTCCGGGTCGTCCGTAAAGATGGGTGTCCAACAGGGCTCGATTCTTGGCCCATTCCTATTTTTAGTGTATATTAATGACTTACCTTCCCTAGTAGGGGATAATCATAATATAGTATTATTTGCTGATGATACCTCCTTGATTTTTAAACTTAAACGTCTATCATTTAAATGTGACGAAGTGAATAATGCTATATTAAAATTAGTGCATTGATTTAACGTTAATAATCTGCATTTAAACGGCAATAAAAGTAAATGTATTAAATTTACAACAACGAATGTCAAAAATCTGAATACCAATGTGTTTTTAAATGGGGAAGAACTGAGCCCCGTTGAATCCTCTGTTTTTCTTGGCATCTCTCTCGACGCAAAGCTTAAGTTGGGCCCCCGTATATCCAAACTAGCAAGCAGACTAAGCTCTGCAGCTTATGCTGTAAAAAAGATTAGAGATCTCACTAGTATCGGGACAGCTAGATTAGTTTATTTCAGTTTTTCCATAGCATAATATCAGTAGAGGGCCATAAGAGCTACTTACAACCTTAAACCGAGAGAGTCTCTTAGAGAATTTTTTTAAGTAATAAATGTATTAACTTTGGCCTTTCAGTATATTTGCGAAAAAGTGATATACACTCTGTAAACACTAGAAACAAATACAAGCTAGTGATACCAGTCTCTCGACTCCACAGAGTCAGTAATTCATTCTTGGGGCAATATATACGCTATTACAACAAAGTCCCAGAAAATATACAAGGTCTCTCTATTATGATTATCTCGTTCTTTTCAGTTCCATAGTCATGGCAGATACGAAGAGCGAAGCAAGCATTAACAAATGTAGTTTGTGTTTCATCACTCTGACCTGCATAGTGGAAGAACAGTTCGCTAATTCGATAATGCATGACCAAAATCTTACATTTAAGGTAAATATTATGACGGAATTTTGTTTTTATAGAATGTTGGCTCTCATATAATTATACTAGGTAAACTAATAGATTAATAGATAATGTCTAAAGGCATTAAGTCCGCCATTTGTATCTGTAAAGCTTAGGTATGACGACGAGCGAAGTGATGAGGAGTTTTTAAGTTACTAGTAATAACAACGCGCGAATGAAAACAATATTTAAAAATGCATAAAAAAAATTTTAGGGAAGAGTCACCACTGCGGAAACGTAAATCCATCTCTCTCTTATATATTCTTATATTACCACTACACTTCAACTAAGGGTTACAAATAGCCCCCCCCCCCTTCCCAAATGGGTCCCGCTTTGTCATGGTGAGGAGCCTAATCCTCACGGTGAACTATAAGGAACCCACATGACTGAACCGAGGTGAGAGGCCGGCCCGAGGTGGCGACGGGCCCACTTCGGATGTGTGTTGCTGAGCTGTGGCAAGAGGGGTGCCCTCCTCCTACCGCTGCAGCCGAGGTGGAGCTAGACGAGGTTTGGTATGGCGATGCACCACTCGCCCTATCCTCCGCGACTCTGACGGGGTCGCACCGTTGATGCGGTGATGGAGGGGTTGCGGGGGGAGTGTCGATTGCGAGGCGCCGCTCTCCCTACCCTCCGCGGCTGAATCTTGGTTGGTGGCGAAGCCACAGACCAGATCCGCCGCTACTGTGTGCTCTTTTTGCCTGGCCCCACGGTCTCCGTGAATCAGACACGGGAGAATCCGTTAACGTAACGCAGGTGAAGTTTGGAGGCCGTGAAGAAAACATGACAATGAGTATTTTATCATTTCACAATGCGGTGGCGTTACTAAAGCGATATAACAGGGCTCGGAAACCGGTTGAAATTCTAAACCGGTTTAGGTCATTGACCCCAAAACCTGTTTTTGCGGAATACCGGTTTTTCACAAATTTCGGTTTAGGTAGTAAGAATTAACCGGTTAAAACCAAGTTTTGTAATATCCCCCTCTCCCTTACCCCGCTTGCACCCATCATTGTACGGCTGCCACTGTTTAATTCCCGAGGTTTTTAGACACATGCACGATATATTCATTGCATCAACGCGACTGCCTTGTGACGTAACTCCCTCATATTTTTTCATCTTTCCGCAACGATCGTATTATAAATAACAGATGTAAGTTCTGTTTCAATTAATTATGCGTTATCTTCACTTTAAAATTAAGTTTTGATATCAAGTTTAATTTGACGTTATATATTTAAATTGACTTTAATTATATTTAACGTATTCTATTAAAATTACGCTAGCATCTTTATTTCAATGTCATTAGTTTTAGTAATATATCGCAATAAATGATGAACTTTCTTAACAGAACACAATATTTTTAAAAGTTTATGAAATTATATGTTATAGTATTTTGGTTCTTTTTAGGACTAAAGTGAGGCAGATTAACAGATTTTTTTTAATTCTGAAGCTCGTAATTACGACCAACCTCTATCTCAGTCTTTGCAAAATTAATAATGACCACTTCTGAGGTGTAAAGTTTAACTAGAAGTCATGTCTAAACACGACAAAAAATTGTTTGTTATGTTCAGAGAATTCTAACAAAAGAAATTACCATTTTTCACATCTCATTAAAGCGAAATTGGAGCAAATCTTATCATGTTGTGTACGTGCAAGATGCTACTAAAAATATTAGTTTTTCTAAATAGAGTGCAAGGTAACCACATAGATGAAATTAAATTAACTGATACTGAAATTAATAAAGAAAAATAATTTGAATCTAACAAATCATTATGATTAAAGTCGGCTATACTTTGCTGTCGACTGTAACCAAATACATACACTAAAAAATCCTGTCTTTTATTTAAAGTAATTATTAATAACTCTCAATTAACTACATCATCACAGATATATCTACGAACATGTATTGAATTATAAAAGCGAATTATTAAAAGTGCAGCCAAGTTTTCTAACGCCTCAAGATCAAAATAATATAGTAATCACTTTCGAATTTTTTACAAACTTTCATACTTTACGCATACGAAACTATTAAAATAAATAAAATTGAAGTGTCTGTTCGTAACGTCAAAATAACAGATTTTTACTAAATACATATCATGAAATTATATAATTTTGTCTGTTTGTATGTGGTTACTAGCGTGACTGTGAATCATGATTTGGTCCTGGGTTTAAATCGTGTCCCAGGTCGTGCCACGTACCGTTATTGGATTAATTTGGGTATAATGAGTGCTCTAGAAACCACCCTGATAGTCGTATTCAGCCCTCAATCAAGCACTTAGATTTTTGGGTTTTCTCGTCGTACGTTTGCTTATAGAAAAGGGGGCAAACGAGCATGCGGGTCATGTGATGGTAAGTGACTACTGCCACCCATAAACAACCGCAACACCAGGGGAATTGCAGGTGCGTTGCCAGCCTTTAAGAAAGGAGTGAGCTCTTTTCTTGAAGGTCCCTAAGTCGTATCGGTCCGGAAAAATCGCCGGTGGTTAACAATTCCACAGAGAAGTTGTACTAGGAAGAAAACTCCTAGTAAAACGCACAGTGGTGGCCCGTCAAACATACAGATGGTGAGGATGGTATCGTGAATTTTGACGCGATGTGCGTTCGTGAAATTTGGCGGCTGGAATTAAACCGAACAATTCCTCAGAGCACTCACATGTTCTATCACCGGGAGGACCATCTGTCCCAAGGAGGTGTCGGATTTATCGTCCACAAGTCTCTCGTTAACAACGTTGTAAAGATTGAGGGTGTGTCGACGAGAGTTGCGTAACTTATACTCAGAATCACCAAACGTTATTCGCTGAAGGTCATACAGGTTTACGCACCAACCTCGGCACACCCCGATCAGGAGGTGGAGGAAATGTATGAGGATATCTCTAGAGCCATGCATTCCTCCAAAACCCAATATACAGTGTTAATGGGAGACTTCAATGCAAAACTAGGCAAAAGAGAGAACGGTGAGCTGAAAGTAGGGAAATTTGGAATAGGGCAACGGAACCCAAGGGGCCAGCAGCTGGCCGATTTCATGGAGAAAGAGGGACTCTTTATGATGAACTCTTTCTTACAGAAGCGGCCTCACAGGAAGTGGATCTGGTCGAGCCCCGACGGTTCGACAAAAAATGAGATTGACTTCATTATGACGACCAGACGACAACTGTTTAGTGATGTCTCCGTGGTCGCGAGGGTGAAAACTGGTAGCGATCACCGAGTGATTAGAAGCACACTAAACCTAAACGTTAAGTTGGAGAGGTCTCGTCTAATGAAGTCAACGCTCCGTCCCCCTCGTGCTCTGTTCCAAAGTCCCGAAACCTTTCAGCTCGAGTTACAAAACCGTTTTCAGTGCCTAGAAGACTGCAATGAATTGGACGATATGAATGACAAGCTCGTGGAATCTGTCCATGCGGTTGGAGCTAAGTTCTTCAAGCGCCCGCCGCAGAAGAACACAAAAACTCTCCGATCACACTCTTAATCTCATGGCTGTTAGACGGGAGATGAAGCTACACTCTTCAACAGATTTGACAGCATACAGGCAACTGAACAGACAGATCTTCAAATGCATGCGGCGGGACTTACGCAACTTCAATACAGCTTGTATTGAAGAAGCGATCGAGCGGAACCAAGGCTCCAAAGTATTTGCCAGAGATCTGTCTGCCAGAAAGAGCCAACTGTCAAAGCTGAAGACCGAGTGTGGCAGCATCGTTTCCGGGGCACCTGAGATTTTGAGTGAGATTGAGAGGTTCTATGGGCAGCTGTACACGTCATCGTTGGAGCCACACGCAAGTGTGAGTAACAATCCAGGAGCGAGTCTTATCCGACACTATTCCGAAGATATCCCGGACGTCAGTCTGAGCGAGATTAGAATGGTTCTCCAGCTCCTTAAAAACAGCAAGGCCCCAGGCGAGGATGGAATTAAAGCGGAGCTTCTGAAAGCGGGTGGAAAACCGGTACTTGAAGTCCTTCAGAAGCTCTTTAATTCCGTCCTCCATGGTGGCATTACACCGGAGGCTTGGAGCGGAAGTGCGGTGGTCTTGTTGTTTAAGAAAGGCGACAACGCTCTCTTGAAGAACCACAGACCGATTTCGCGGCTCAGAAGCCGCGTCTACGTGCTGTTTTCGAGAGTCATTACGAATCGTCTCGCGCGCATACTTGATGACTTCCAGCCTCCCGAACAAGCCGGTCTCCAAAAGCGCTTTAGCACCATAGACCACATACATACCCTTCGGCAAATTGTACAGAAGTCCGAAAAGTACAATTTGCCATTATGTCTGGCGTATGTGGACTATGAGAAAGCCTTTGATTCCGTTGAAATTTGGGCGGTGCTGCAGTCCCTTCAGTGGTGCCAAGTTGACTGTTGGTATATCGAAGTGCTGAAGGGTTAGTACAGTAGCTATCCGAGTACAGAACCAGAGTACGAAACCTATCCAACTGCAAAGAGGTGTAAGACAGGGTGACGTTATATCCCCGAAACTCTTCACCTCTGCATTGGAAGACGTTTTCAAGCTACTGGACTGGAAAGGATGCGGTATTAACATCAATGGCGAGTACATCACTCAACTTCGATTTGCCGACGATATAGTCCTTATGGCAGAATCGCTGGAGGACCTAAGCATTATGCTCAATGACCTCAATAGTGCTTCCCAACGGATAGGTCTTTAGATCAACATGGACAAAACAAAAATCATGTTTAACGTCCATGTTACACCTATGCCGGTAGTTGTTGGGAGCACTAAGCTCGAAGTTGTTGACGAGTATGTTTACCTGGGACAAATAGTCCGACTAGGTAAGTCCAACTTCGACCGAGAGGTCAATTGACGGATTCAACTCGGCTGGGCAGCGTTCGGGAAACTACGACACGTCTTCTCGTTAGACATATCTCAAAACCTAAAAACGAAATTGTACAACCAGTGCGTGTTGCCAGTGGTGACTTACGGATCTGAGATGTGGTCCTTCACTGCTGGCCGTATGAGGAAGCTCAAGGTCGCTCAGCGAGCTATGGAGAGGGCTATGCTCGGAGTGCCTCTGCTTGATAAACTTAGAAATGAGGATATCCGCAGTAGAACCAGAGTAACCGACATAGCCCAACGGATTAGTAAGCTGTAGTGGCAGTGAGCTGGCCGTATAGCTCGAAGAACCGACAAACGATGGGGAGAAAGGTTCTCGAGTGGCAGCCTCGTACCGGTAGGCGAAGTGTAGGGCGACCCCCCACTAGATGGAGTGACGACCTGGTGAGACATGTAGGAAGTCGATGGATGCAGGTGGCTCAGGACCGTGCTTTGTGGCATTCCTTGGGGGAGGCCTATGTTCAGCAGTGGACTTGTGAAGGGCTGTAATGGTGATGATGATGACATGTGAAGTTCGCTAACAAACATTGGGGTAGCGCGGCGGACATTTACTTGCCCTAAAACCCTCTCAGAAATAAGAGGAGGCTTGTGCCCAGCACTGGGACGTATAAAGGCTGCAACTTTACTTTACTTTTTCTGGTACTCGAAGACGTTTCCCGAGAAATATGGCACGGCCGGTGTATATTGCATCACTAGTGCTGTCGTTGTTACCAGTTTGCAAAATATCATTGATATGCAGTAGAAACAGCGTTGGTGATAGCACGCAGCCTTGTGGAACGCCAGCATTAATAGGCTTGTAATCAGAGCATGCACCGTCTACTACGACCTTCATGCTCCGATCAGCAAGGAAACTGGTGATCCAATTGCACAATTTCTCGAGAAGCCTATAGGAAGGGAGCTTCGAAAGAAGCGCTTTGTGCCAAATCCGATCGAAGGCATTCGCAATGTCCAAACTAACGGCCAATGCCTACCCCTTAGACTCTACTGCCTCCGCCCATCTATGATTAGATAGACCAGAATATCACCAACTGATGAACCCCGACGAAAACTGTTTATAATGGATTCCATTATTTTGGAGAACAAGGAGGTGTAGTACCGGAAAAGACGCGTTAAAACAGGTGTCTACTTCGGAGCACACGTCTTCAGCACAATGGAAGGGAACCGAGTGCTGTGTAAGCCGCACATCTGGCATGGAGCACTCAAACCGCGGGATGGTCGGCGGTGTATTCCTCCGTCATCGAGAGTCGAGTTGCACGCAAAAAGAGAGATTAACAGATCGGCTTTCTCTTTTGCGGCATGGAATCAGTGAGTCGCTCTCTCTTTGCAGAGAGGGCTGACAGAAGTTCCCTTGGACAGCCTTAGCAAGAGACCAGAATGAACGGGTTACCGAAGGAAGGCGAACTAGCCTCTCACCAACTCCGCCGATGTGCTCTGACCTTGCCTTGGCAATTAATTTTGAAGAACCTGGGGGCGGAATTATACTTCTTTTGAAGAGCGCTGATGTTTACATCTCGATACATCAACGTCTCGGAATGTAAAGATGTCGTCAGCCCCCGATGGGAACCACAGAAGATGGAATAAAAAGTTCCATATCCTCAAGTACCATATCAGTGACAGAACCAGCAAGATTGCTGGGATTGTCCAGCGGGAAGCAAATTCGCCCTCAAGGGTAGAATGCAAAATTAAGACCGCATCCTTTCCCAATCGGCCGATATATAGTGCCAAACACGGCGGCTGCCTGCAGAATGCAACCGCGAAGATAGTGTGAGTGACACCACCCTTCGGACAAGACAATGGCCCTAGGAGCCGTGATGGGTGTCAACGGAAACCTGTTATCCGTCCGGATAAGAGGTCAGCAGAAGTTCCAACAGGGAAGGCGCATGATCCTCCACATCTGGAATCCGCGTAGGCGCGTAGGTAGTAACCAGCTGTGCAACCATATGCCAAGGCAAAGTCATAAACAAATTTCCCCACATGATCGGTCAAATGTGAACCGAGCAATTCGGCGTGATGGTCGTTAAAATCGCCATGGATCACGATCTCTGAGGATACCCCCCTACCCCCCACTCCCCTGTATACCAGAATACGCGGGGCAGCTTTAGCACACATGCTCAGGAACAGTAGGGTAGCTTGGGCGTGGGTGCTCAGCGAAGGATTCTCCGTCACCAGGATTCTGGTACCCTCCTGGGGTAGTTTTTTATTTGATGCCGCTACCATACTTTAAGGGGGGGGGGGATTGGGCCTCCGACCACCCACACCTACCAAGTGAAACGCAGAAGTAAATTTCTACTTCACGCTGGTATTCTGTGAGGTCGTGGTACTACCCTGGTTCGAGCTGGCCCATCCATGCGATAGCAAAAGCTGCCGCGTGGCTCTATGTACTACTACTGTTAAAACGTAAACATGGAATGAATTCTATTTACTTTTTTTCAGCCCATCATAAATAAACAACCGATACACAAGAATAAATTATTTTCTTCATTATGAGACACGTCCAGTCTTAACGAATAAACCAAACACAATAACTGCCTTTCTTTCTTCAAAACTTCTCCAATACTTTCCAGTTTTTCGTAAACGCCAAACTCCCACTACACACCCTGATCGCGACTAAAACAATGTATCGCTTGAAGGCAGATAATTGATGTGTGCCCGCATGCGGCGATGCCGCATAGGCACCTCGCAACGTGAATCTACCTGTCCTATTCATAACTGCATTTACGTTTTACGGAATTTACCGGTTAATTTGGGTGTCGAAACCGTTAAGTAACCGGTAACCTTTATCGTTTAGGTTTAATAAAAACCGGTTAATTTTTTAACCGGTAATTGAAGGAGCGATAAATTTACCGGTAATTAATCGAAATTAACCGCTCTTTTTAAACCGGTTCCGAGCCCTGCGATATAATGCGTCACTGGCGTTTGAATTTACATTTTGGTAAAACCATTTTTAATTGTAAAATTACATGAAAAATCAATTGTTAACTTTCTTTTAATTTTTCTTCTAAATTTTTAGTAAAAAAACATACTACTTCTCTTTTTTAGTCCTCAGAGGTTACAATGCGTTTGCAGCTTCTTTGTGTGAATTTGGCTGCAGGTGACAATGGACTGCAGTAGCCACTTGCAGTTTATAATATAGAAGCTTGTAACAATAATGTAAAAGACATAGCTCTAAAATTTAAGATTAATATAATCTAAAATAACTAGCCAACCACAAAATATGAATCGGGCAAAGTAAACACATAAGCTCGCGCTTATACGCATCGCGTTCATAATACAAACAGGCACTTTTATTTACATTTAAAGTTTTGTGTTAATTATGCCAGTAAAAATACTTCATGAAATGAAAACATTTTAAGCAAATATTAGGTCGTTACATATGAAATTGGCGTTTTTTACGAGAGGAATATTAAGTCAATTTTTTTTTTTGGAAAATATATTTAATTAATCAAAATATGCACCGTTGTTGTCTATGTACTTTTGCCATCTCATAGGTAGTTCATTGATCCCTTTACTAAAACACCATGGGGGCGAGAATCAATAAACTCTTTCAAGGCGGTTTGGACTGCCGCATCGGAGTTGAATTATTTTCCTTGTAAGAAGTTGTCCAAATTTCTAAAAAAAATGGTAATCTGTTGGAGCAAGGTCTGGGTAGTACGGTGGATGTCGCAGACATTCCAATTGTAGCTCATCGTAGTGGTTGTTTGTTGTGCAGTGTGTGGTCTTGCGTTGTCGTGAAGCAGCAGTGGCCTAGAGCGATTGATCAATCTCGGTTGTCACCCTCACGGTGCGGTGGTCAGCGTTTGGTTGCGTGGTTGTAGGGTAGGCGGACGTTTCGCAGTAGTTTGTTGTTAATTTCACAGCAAATATCGGCGTACGTCAGGCGGTGATTGATCGCATGACGTAATAGCTCGCTACGTAATTGGAGCGCGGTTGCGTCAGCAAGTAGTATAAATAGCAGTAGTTTCGGCTCGCCGCTCACTTAGCGGCCAGTCTCCGCAGAGTCTACTTCACCTGAGGATGCCTCGTGTAGAGGCGAAACACGTGTCGTATTTTCGAGAGTGGTGTGTCGTGCCTAGTGTGCTGGTGGTAGTGCTGGGATTAACGGCGACGGGTATAGTGCGCGCGATTGAGGGAGGGTGGGAGGTCCCCTTAAAACTGGGCAGGACACATCATTTTCTTTCTTTACGCGGAATTTAGCAAATTAGTTTATAACAACCCCATTATAATGGATTTCCGCAAAGTAACGCCTGATTCTATCAATTAAATGAATGACTGTTTTCAAAACTCAAATGTACCAGCTAAATGAATTTATAAATTTAAATTTGGAATTCTTAACCAAAGAGGAGATATTTCAGATCAAAGTGGGGTCAGTACGACAAAACGCTAATTTCACACGTAAGGACCTAATATTACCCATATTTATAAATAAGTTTGACGTACAATGATAATATACACATTATTAATATGAACTTTCGTTATAACAGGTTCAGTTATACAGACTTCCAATGCGCCATAGAAAAATAGTTCTGGAAGAACCACCGTCTCAGCCGTTAGCTTCTACTTTAATAGGTATTATCAAAGTATTTTACTTTATATACATTACGAACATTCTTTCTTTATATTATTTACTTTATGGCATTTCTTTATAAAACTCTACCAGTGATGAAAATCAATCACGATACTCCACCAAATCTAAGATATATCTCTGTTTCACATTAATCATTTCGCAATAACTTTGTACAAGCGAGCTCATACGATTTAAAATAATCGAGTTATGAAGTTATCTATATTTCATTACAACATGTATAGGTTCTTTATCATTAACTTTTTTGTTTGACGTAGTTTCAATAATATGTCGTTATGTACTTTACCGTACGGTTTGGATAATTCAAATTAATGTTAATGCGAATAATCGGTAAAATATTCAAATAATCGAACCCTTAATTTTTTTTATTTAATTTTTTATTTCTACAGTTGCATAAATTATATTTCTAAAGTCTAATTTTTTTATAATTTCTGTGAATCCCACTGCGGTAAAGTTGCGAGTAAGTTTAGAAGATGCCGGCTTGTACAATGGTAGCATAAAGTCATTGAGAACCATTTGAAAAGGAATGGGCTTCCGATACAAAAAAAATGACAAACGCAAAATTATTATTTAGAAACATGAATGCAAGAAATAACTTTTTATGATAATACGCTATGATATGATATATAAGGTAGACTGAGGCAAGTGTGACAGTGGGGCTATTGTGACCATAGACATGAAAATGGACTGAGCGTTAGCCTCACAAAAGTGACTAATCTCTAGAATGAGACAAAATGACTGTGCGGCCAATACCTGTATCTTTCCGGCAAGCTTGACTGGTCCACGTCCTGAAATTCAGTGGTGTAGACCAATCAGAATTCTATAAAGAGACAAATACTGGCCTCACATTCGCTTTTTCGGTTTGTATTCACTGCACAGATGAATACGGAATGCACAGTCCATCACTCTATGTCTATGAGTGTGACAAATGCAAATTATGCGGCATAAATACGTTTTTTGGTTAAATGCCATCTATTCAACAACGCAGGAACTTTTACACTATTGACTATACCGACAGTTAAGTACATAGCTTCAACTATTTTATCGACAGAGGTCATTTTTTAAACTACTCAACTTGCGAAGGATCGCGCAAATTTAAGCGGTGAAGTTTCTAAGTGTTTTGATACGTTATTAAGTTATTTGAAACAAGAAACAAGGTGAGTGATAAAGAATAATATTGGTACTTATAGTGTAATATGTTTCTGTAGCTTGAAATCCACTATTCCTCGAAATACGGATACAGTTACACTTACCTCACCTAATACCTAATATGTCGAAGTGTGACAGTAACTAGTGATGGGACAGCCTATTTTTTAACCGACCGAATTTTTTTTTTGTATGTTGATATTTAAGTATTTACTTTCATATTTAATACTAATAAACAAGCGAGCGAAGCAAGTGAGATATCAAAGTCACGTTCAAAGAATCGGTGTTTGTATGTTAGTTGGTACTTATTTTGGTATGAATTTCTGTATGTTTTTTGTATATACGGTGATAACTTGTAAGATCTGATTTTAATTAAATTTAAGATGTTTATATATACATATAATATAAATAGAAAACTGGGTGTTTTAGAGTTAGTGGGGGGTGTAGAAAGGGTGAAAAATATCAGTTCATGGGGTAAAAGGGGTGAAAAAATTTGAAGGCGCTGTCATAATTTTTAGCATTTGTTAGACAAATGTACCATACAGCCTATATCGCTTTTATACTTTGTGTAATTATTCATTTTTTTTAGTAAACTTTATTAAAATTTTCCCCTGTAAGTGACACTACCTGTTAAAATAATAGAGCGCTAAATGTAATACACGTAAATAATATATTTTAAGTCAGGAATACTATTTTTTTTAGATGGTTAGAAACTATAATATAAGAAATACGTCTTGTAAAAACGTCTGGTGAAACTCTGCTGGAGGCTATCAAAGCTGTACGGGAGAAACATATGGCTCCTTTTAAGGCAGCCAAGGTGTACGGTGTCCCTTGAACAACCATAATCGCACACGTATATGGTGATCCAGGTGAAATCGAACACTCATGGTAGACCAGCAGTATTAAACTCAGACTTGGAAAAAAATTTGGCTACAATACTTCACACTATGGAACGACATAGTTTTGGTTTAACTCGGCGAGAAGTCGGAGCTTCAGTTGGCTTTAGTTTCGTCGCAATGAAATCGATACTCCCTTCAAAGATGGGAATCCGGGAGACAAATGGATAAGGGGCTTCAAAAGATGGAACAAACTATTAATTAAAAAACCTCAAGCCGTCGAAATCGCAAGAAGAAAAGCTGCCGCCTCGTTTATTACCAACGAGTTCTACGATTTACTTGAGACAGTCGTACAAAAGCAACAATTTGAAGGCGATCAAATATGGAATCTTGATAAAACATGTTTTTGTTAAGCCAGCCACAAGAACCATTAGCTCACCAGGTCGCGGTAATACAACTGAATTGTTCGCATGCAATGCCTGGGACCTGAAAGTTCCTTCATTAATATTTTTTAAAGGAACGTATCTTTGGAATACATGGCTACCTGATGATAATTCGATTGATTGGGTATTTGCCGCCACGCCGAAGGGTTAGATGGAAGCTTCAGTCTTCGAAATTTACATATCAAATGGACTGATACCGGAAATATATAAATCAGTCAAATCACAACTTGTGATATACGACGGCTATTTAACACACCTTGACTTATATGTTAATATTACCCTTATAAAACTACCGCCACATTCTTCCTATATTTTGCAGCCGTTGGATGTAAGCACTATGAAACCGATAAAAGGTCGATTGGATGAAGAATTAATTAAATAGCAACGACTCAAGATCTGAAACAATTACCGAAAAAAAATTACGGAAATTTTGGTTGAGACATGGAAATACTTTGATCCAGTGATTTTGAGAAACTATTTCATAAAAACTGGCATATAACTGTTTGTTGTTATAACATAAATAAACATTACATTTTTCACATATAGTGAAAGAATGATATATTGAACAATACTGACATATCTGTCGGGTATTTTTCACCCAAATGGGAAAATAACTAATTCTATCAGGACATACTGAATTCAAAGAAAGCTTTTGATGTCTGGCCGGAGTCTTTCAAAACTTTTTTGTAGATACTGGATAATCAGGCAAGTCGATGGGAGAGCCGCCCCGGCTTGATGTCGGTGTTCCAAAAATACTAGATGGACGACCACGTTTTCTTTTGTATTGGAGCTCTAGAAAAAAAAAAGAAGAACCAAAAGTAAAAAGAACGCTTTCTTTTTACTTTTGGCTCGTCTTTCTTTAGGAATAGGTGCTGAAGTAATTATCAACAATGAATATATTGAAAGAAAAACGATTGAAATTAAAGAAAAAGAAAATAAAGGATCAAGAAAATGAACTTAAATAAACTCCCACAGTTTTTAGTGACGGCGATTCTGGAAGTGTTCAAGAGAATCAATTAAGTCACGAAAAAAAAAATCAAAAAAAGTAGAAGCAAAAAGGAAAAATCCAACACACGTTCTTACGATACAACCTATATCCACCCAGAACCAATATTGAAGTCGCCATCAACATTTAAGTCTTTTAAGTAAATAGTTAATAATGGGGTTGTTATAAAATTATTTGCTTAAATCCGCGTAAAGAAAGAAAATGATGTGACCTGCCCGGTTTTAAGGGGGCCTCCCACCCTCCCCCAATCGCGCGCACTATACCCGTCGCCGTGAATCCCAGCACTACCACCCCCAGCATCACAACACTAGGCACGACACACCACTCTCGAAAATACGACACGTGTTTCGCCTCTACACTAGGCATCCTCAGGTGAAGTAGACTGCGGAGGCTGGCCGCTAAGTGAGCGGCGAGCCGAATCTACTGCTATTTATACTACTTGTTGACGCAACCGCGCGTGAACCCCATTATAATGGATTTCTGCAAAGTAACGCCTGATTCTATTAATTATAGTTAATAATGTTTTTGTTCAACTAAATAGCTATATGCTAATATTATAATACAAGTACTAAAGATTATTAGATATTATTATTTTTCACTTAGTTTTGTTTTTTACACTTTCAAAACATCCGGGTCAAGTGTGACATAAATCCAGTTATAGGCACATCACTATATCGGTTAAAACTGTCAAACTTACTCTATGTGGAGAAAATCCATTCTTACACTAAAATGGACGTTCAAATCGTTCTTATAGATCATAAAATATATTGACATTAGTATCATCTCGTCAATTTTATTAAAACTACAGACAATAATAAAGTACCTACAAAAAGAAGCTTACTGTCACACTTGCCTCACTGATGGGTAAGTGTGACAATCTTCGACCTTGATTGGTTTTAAATTTTAATCACCTCAAATCACAAAATGCTACTGATAGATACTAAAATGCTTGATAAAACAAACAACCACTTAATAATTGATGTTTTGAAACTGAATTATCTACGTTAAATCCACACAGAGTAGACATATTTAAATGTTCATTTTATTTTTAATTAATTTATGTCACACTTGCATCGGGTGACTATTTGATACGATATTAAAATGATAAGAAAAACGACAGCTTGATATGATTAGTGGCATATGTGGGGTGAAGAAAGTGGTGCATAAGTGCATTAAGTGCTATCGCATGAAGGATATAAATAGTGCGTTTAGACCTTTTCAAACAGTGTTCTAGATTTTTGTGGTCTATTCAATGTAAAGGTAGCTAGAATATGTATACATTTGATATTTAAAGTGTTTTTTGTCTTGTTTGTTTGTTTCTCCACTAAAGCAATCCATGTAGAACTTCAATTCATTCCATTCAAACTTTTATTTCAAGACGTGGATTGTCCACGCAAATACACTGCGACAATGCTAACACTTAGTGGGGCATCCAATAAATATATAATATCCAATAAATATAGATAATTTTATAATTTATTAAATACAAAACGACTTAAAAATAATGTTAACAAATATTGATTCAAAAGGTATATTAAATTTTCTTTTATACCTATGTAGGCACTCTCCAAAGGTTTGGTAGGCTATGGTAGGCAGGAGTCAAACGCTTAAAGTTTCATCAGAAGAGAATAGTAGGAAATATCAGTCTTACCTTTGAAGAACTTTACAAGGGCTTCTGATCAGTAACTCCAAACCTTTGCTTCCCATGTTGTCTGATGTCTCTGATACAAGTTGGTCACTTTCTTATTGGTACAGCAATGACAAGTTATCCAGAAATAAATGTCTATCATGAAAATATTAACTATTTAAAGTTTTGGAGTTCTGTCTAAATTTAAAAGGACTTTTGGAAAGCTTGGTCCAATGATTATTATTTGACTCAATTACAGAGTAAACCAAAAAAGAACAATGAGCATCCCAATTAAAGGAAGAAGACCTTGTGATTGTTCAGTTTGATAATACTCCTCCATTTCAATGGCCCACGGCTAGAGTAATTAAAACTCCTGACGGGTGATTAAGATAAAGATGGGAAATAAGACCTTCATAAGACCCTTTAGAAAGTTAAGTCCCTTACCAATTAATCAAAATATTAAGTATTTAAAAACTTAAAAAGTAATACTAGTAATGTAATTAATATTAGGCTTATTTACATTGATGTATATATTTGGATATCTGAAAAATTTACTTGATTTAGCTTTTGTTAAAATTTATTTTGTATTTTTATTATGTACCTAGCCAACTATTACTTAATATAAATAATCTGTGTACGTTAGACTCCGAACTATGTTTAATAAATTATGAAACATCAACGTTTTTATCTGTATTCTGTATGTACACATTAATTATTATCTATATTAGGGATGTGCATGTAAAAATTCGATATATATTGTATCGATATTTTTAAACAGTATCGATATATATCTTGTTAAAAATATAGATATATCGTTGGTTGGACAACGAAAAAAAATAAATGCACGTGAATGCTTTTGTCGCTGCTTTTGAAGCTTCATATTTTGTATATTAATACAACATTTTAAATTATATCGAATTTGATAAGAATTCGATATTCTAAAATAAATATCGATATATATACGGAGTGACGAAAAAGTTATCACATAAAATGAAAAGACGTATGCTACATAAATTTCTTTAAACATACACAACTAAAAAAATATATAACAGTTAATACATTAGCCGCGGTAGCATTTTTTTCGTTTCAATATTAAATAACATCATGTAAATGCATACAGATATCACCTGATGAATTCTAGAAGGTCAAAGACCCATGCCATTTCAAGGCGAATATAGGTAGTTTAAAGGTTATCAAACCTAACTACTCAAATAAAGAAAAAATCAAACAAAAACTGCACTTACGGCTAACAATTTAAGGCATAATTTTATGCGCGAAATTAAAAACAAAGGGAACGCACGCTGCAGGCGTATGAAAACAAAGTCAAGCGAAAAATTTACTTAAAATAATGAAGTTAAGGCATAATTCTCTACGCGCAAAGTGACAAGAAATGGGATCGGGTGTTAATATAAATTATTATTTTTCTGGCGCGTGCGACGTTTTGTAAGTCACTTCAGGTCAGTAACCTATATATCAAGGCTGATTTATTTCTTGTCAATATTTTACCCCATTTATTTTGTTTGAAAAATGCATTTTTTTATTTTCTTTTATTATTGTTTATTTTATTATTTTAACAGACATATATCAACTTGTATTAACTGCTGTGCTATTTAACGTGATAACCTCGGCGCCACCCAGTATATATATAATTTCGATAGTATATTTTACTTGCAACATTAATCACTATTTTTTTGTATTGGCAACTCTACTTCCGATCTCAGTATTCCAAGTGTGTCCATCAAATGATTATTAGATTAAGTACCAAAGTTAAATTTAAACTTGCATTTTATAAGACAGTAATTATCCACTACCTCATATCGTCAAAGTCAAATATCCATTACTCCATATAGTCATGGGTGTCGTAAGAGGCGACAGAGAAACAACCCGGAAGTGGGGCAGCAGTGTCTGTCTTTAAAACAACCAAAAAATAAAAACTGCGGTTGCCAAAACGCCTGCCAAGCATAGCAACTGTGACAAATAACTGCAATTGTAAAGAATGTTGATTAATAAATTAAAGCGGGGTCTATGACAGTCGTGCCGACCCATATGCGCTCTATCATGTAAAACAGCACATCACATGTGGTAGAGCCATGCTGCAGCTATATTATGATTATAGCACGAATGGGTCTGATCGACTAAGGAAGGACCACGTTCTCACAGAATACCAGCTTAAAATAGCGGCTTAATGCTGCTGTGTTTCGTATGGCGAGTGTAGAGAACTGGATACCAGATTAACTAGAAAAGAGGTATTTCACCTTAGTCCTTAGGAGTGACGACGCATCTGCATTTTGATTCTTAATCGAGGATAAATGTAGATGTCTATGGGCTACAGCATCCACATACCATCAGGTGTATTGTGCCCGTTTGTCACTCTTATTCTAAAAACAAATCTCGCATACATTTCCAGTCTGGATAAGGTGGTGGTGTTAGGTGTTATCATTACTATATTCCTGGACTACAGATCTCCTAGTCGAGTTCATGATGTGCCACCTTCTAAAGAAGTTCCCCGGGGAGTTGTACGAGCTATGCGTGGGCGTGGTGCTGCGGCTGCTGAGCTACCAGAAGCGGTGCCGTGTGCGGCTGGCGCGCGACTGGCGCCCGCTGTGGGCCGCGCTCATCGCGTTGCTCAAGTTCCTCGCCACCAACGAGAGCGCGCTGCTCAAGAGGCACAACATCTTCGTCATGGCACAGCAGGTACTGTACACAGCTAGATGTGGGCTTTACTTCCTTAATGAAACGCTCGCTACTAAATTGATAGCTACGTTACGCGAATTATGATACTAATTTTCCTTTAATATTTGAAACGGGCTTAGGACCGTCATATTAAATAAAACTTTTTTTACATTTAAACAATGTAAACGATGATTGACTTTACTATGGCGTATTTAAAAAATGGAATCAAGTATTTACAACTATTAACAATTTGAAACTAATAACATTTACAACAATGAACTATTTACAACTTAAATATGCAATCACTTAAAATAACACTAAATTTTAATAGTTATTCAAAATTGAGTCCGTTTCTCTCTAAAAGTACAGTTGAGCACGTTTCTTTAGATTATTTTTTACATTAATTACATGGAGCACCGTCGTGTTGGATATCAAAATTATTCAGTAATACTAGGGGTATATCGTCCAGGAAATCTTGAATAACAACACTTACGTATAATGTTTGCGCCTCACGTAAACTTTCATTGCTTAAAATATAACACCGTACCATTTCATAGTATACGCGATTCGAATATTTTCGTGGTATCATTGCTAGTAACGAAGTGACAAGTAATACTACCTACGGAAATTTAAAAATACACACTCGTACGTAATGAGGTCATGGTCAAGTCAACACTGTCAGCCGGCCGGGAGAACGTACTTAGCGGTGTAATTGCTTTCGGAAGGGAAAAGGCGGGGAGACGCGCTTGTGTTTACGTATTCAAAACAATTATTATATACCTAAATCTAATAAAAAGCGCGAGCGCCGAATGCCACCGGCTGCTACAGAATTCAACACTCCCTTACGAATGTGTGGGTGCGTAATAAAATAGTAGACGTTACATATTTATGAATGACAATCAGTTAAAATAATGCATTTCTACACATTTTGAATATAAAAGATAAAAAGCACAAAATGTTTGAGATTTTTCTTATTTTTTTCACCATTGTAAAAAACCAACTGTAATCATCATCATTACAGATGATCACAATCAAGTTCACTGCTAAAATTAAAATTACCTCTAGGAATGCCACAAATCAAGGTCTTGAGCGTGAGCAAAGTATAAGTGACTAGAGGATTTGTCTTAAATTTCCAAACTGCCCCGCCGAGTCAGATTTCTACGTCAATCGTAGTTCAGTTCGTACAATTTGGCCTAAGGAAGCATACTCGTTAACACGTTGGAGCGTAATGCTCCCAACAAATACAGGCACTGGTGTGGCTTGGACGTTACGCATGACATTGTCTATTTTCATCTTAAGATCTATCCCATTGGGAGACTATTGAGGTCATTGAGCATAGAGCTGAGTTCCTCTAGTGATTCTGCCATATTATGTATATAAATAACGTACCTGACGGTCGCCATTCATATTGATATTGTATCCCTTATAGTCCGTTTGAAAGCTTCTTCCAATGCAGCAATAAAGACTTTGAGATGTAACATCACCCTGTCTTACACGAGTTGGATAGGTTTCATACTCTGGTCCCTGTACCTGGAAAGCCATTATATCATAGCTCTGCGTACAAATACCTCAGAACTTTGATATACCAACAGTCAACTTGGCACTACTGAAAAGTCTTAGAGCCACAGTGACCACTGACAATCTTATGATCTTTTGTTATTTTTAATAAAATTAAATTATACTATTTTCATTTCATGTATCCTTATATCCTCTTCCAGGTTGTCAATATCTTTAACCTGTTCATAACATTCGGCGATACATTTCTTCCTACGCCCGCCTCATACGACCAGCTGTATTACGAGTTGATACGAATGCATCAGGTGTTCAACGATCTGTTTATAATAGGTAAGTTGGAACATCTTAACAATTTTTTAATCGGTATATCTTAAAAAAATAAAAATACCACATTTAGAATATTGTAAAATGTTCGATAACATGATATTCAACTACGTCTAATCAATTTGGTCCAATCTAAGTCCGCAGTTTTTTTATGTAGAAATAAGGTAACAAAAGAGCACACAGTCCACTCGATAATAAGTGGAAGCTGTGATCTCTAACACATCTCTATCCTTGATTAAGAATCATAATGCGTCACTTAGCACCTTTCTGGAATGTGATTTTCAATGATTTCACTGGAAGGAGCCGCCAAAATGAACAAAATACTTTTAAGGCGGCGCCACTCAAGTTTAAGGTGGCACAAGTCGCGGGCTCGAACTCGCTGGTGGGCGCGGCCAAAAAGCACGCTGTCTCACCTGGCATCGTGCCCGACAGAGATAGTATCAGTGATGAGCATATCGACACTAGTATTCACGCACGTCTTGTTCGTACGGCATTTAGAACCGTTTGAACAAAAACGAAGTTACACGAACACGATGCAACATCTAATACTAATATAATAAAGCAGAAAATATAGATCTTTACTCCGTCTAAAAAAAAGTCCGCGATACCATATGTCTATTTTTTATATATAAGTAAGCCACAATTAGGCATTTTGATTTTGACAAAAAAAAATGAAAATTTAATTATTAGGCATGGCATATTTATCCTTACGAACGAAAGTTACTTCATTATCAAGACAATTTTTTGAGGGTTCGTTCTTTATACCATGTTTATATAGTAAATAGTTTAAGAGATAATGTAAAATTAAAATAATTCAATACTTGGCCTTGACGCGCAAACAACGCATAACGCGAACTGAGAAGCCAGTATTGAAAGCTTCTATGAGCGAGGTTAGGTTAGCCGTTAGTTCAATCATTATCTATAACTACACAAATAAATAAAATTGAAGTGTCTGTTTGTAATGTCAAAATAACAGCTTTTTACTAAATGCATATGAAATTATATACGCTACTTACTTATAACATTTTAACATTTTATGTATGTCTGTCAGTCTGTTTGTTCCGGTTAATTTCCAAAACGGCTGGACCGATTTTGACGGGACTTTCACTAGTAGATAGCTCATGTTATAAGAAGTAACTTAGACTGCTTAAATTTAAGAAAAAATATTAGGTGTCCGTGCAACAAAATTAACACCCTAAACTAAATGCGCACGAGGTCGCGGGGAACAGCTGGTAGCTAAAATAAATTCAAAATTAACTGAGTGCTTTTATCTATCTCCCAGGTGAGCGTAACAATGATTAGTTACATCATTATTTCTGAACTCTTTCATTTCACGTTGCTATGGTATTTTGAAAGTTTAATTGATTAATAAGTATAAGAGGTTGATAGCAAATTTATCAAGAATCATTTCTTGCCTACACACTTTCATGTATCGTGTACGTTTTTCTTTAAAACTGGATAAAACCGCGCATAGTATGCCGACAGATAAAATAAAAGTACTCCATTAATTATGACAATTTTTCCATACATTATTATCAAATAAAATATTTAATTGCAATTATAAAATGCTTGAACTAGGTGTCATGTCATGCCACGCATCTCGGACACGTGATGACGCGCGTGAAACCGCGAAATTATTAGGCGCTGCTTTATCGCTTCATATTAAGTATACCTCTGTGGCTCTATATACCTAATATAGATTGCTTACTTTATTATGTTTAGTTTTTCCCGAGTGGTCATGCAGCGATCACTCAAGAGTTCGGCTTCGAACGTGTGTAACTGCAAAAATTATCCAACGGGAACGAAATACCTGAATAAACGGTATCATATTTGTTATTTACAGCTCCGTGGCGCAGTTGCTTAGCAATGAATTGTTGCACTGGGAGCCGCGGGTTCGAATCCCGCACGGAACAAGTATTTGTATGGCCTGCAAATAGTTGTTCCGGGTCTGGATGTTTGTAAAGTGCCTCCACGATACAGGAGAAAATCCTAGTGTGGGGGTAACGTTTTTTCAAAAAATAAAAAAATAATAAAATTCCAGACTATAACCTATCTCTGAGCAAAATATCATCCAGGTCCCTTCAGCGGTTCTGGTGTGATTGAGTAACATGCATCCATTCATCCGTCCATCCAAATATCCAAACTTTCGCATTTATAATATTTAGATAATAATTGTAATTAGTTCTGCCTACCTATAAATTGTTTTCAAAAATACTTACCTGTCTTCTTACTTTTTTATATATACTCAATATCACTAAACGTAAACACAGGTTTTTATCAAGACAAGTGACCCATCAAGATTGTTTTCTTAGTACTGACGTACCTACCTAAAGTTTACAATTTTGTGGCCACGACGCGGTGACGTTTTGTGACATTTTGTTGTATTGTAGGTTGTAGGTATCTAGGTAATAACAGTAGGTACCTATGAAAATCCCACATAATATACTTTGTTTTTCCACCGCAAGAGTCGTCTAATAAATAATTAAACTGTTTTGTAATTCTTTATTTATTTATAACACTTGCATTGAGAGCCGTGGTAGCTCAGATGGTTAGCGCTCGCCGTAAGTAAGTATCACATTACGCGAGCATCCCGGGTTCGATCCCCGTCGGCACCAATGAAATTGTTGCAATTTTATATAGTAATCGTATATAGACTTTAATTTTTTTTACTTTTATAATTATATTATATTACAGACAAAAATTTTACAATATTGTCTGTCGTCCAAAACGCATCATCTCTTTCAATTATATCAATTTCCATGCTGTCTTTTGTCTTTGGCGTCCAAATTACAAAATAGCAAAACTTTTCGTTTCGAATAAAACTCGCGTCGTCCTCCCGCACCGCACCGGGGGAAACATTATTCAGTGAGATGCACGATAATTCATAGTAACATACGCGCGTAAAAAAATACGAAAAGGCCTTTGGAAGAAGGGGTTTTGTGAAAAAACCACTGCATAAATCAATTACGAATAAAATTTATTGAATTCTTCGATAATTAAGCTGTGTCGGTACCGACTTTGTTTTGGAAATTTTACACTTCTTTTATTACTAATTTACGCCCAAAGTTGTGTTAAAATTGGCAATAAAAACGAATCTTTGGTAGCCCGTAACTTTTTAATAACATTTTATTTTACTATTCTGTTTCCGTACAGACAAATTTAATAATAAGACAAAACGATATCATGTTTAACTTTGGATGTACACTGTCAAACAGCGTAGTAAAACCCCTCCGAAATTTGTATGGAAATCAATGGAAATATTGTCGACTAGTGTCACCTTAAGATGTAATATTTGACAGAATGACGGAGGAAGTTAATTTTTTAGAAAATTGTAGAAATTAATGTTTCTTTCTGAAATATTATTTGTTAGATAGAAATGGATAAACCAAACTACAGATATACGGATTTCGGAGTAGAAGAAAAAAATATTAAAAAATTAAAGAATGCTGCACCTAGGCATTGTTTTCTGACTTTAAGAAAAATTAAAGTACTTTAGGGATTGCTCAAATTAAAATTTACAATTACAATTACTTACGGAAACAATAAGAAAAAACGCATAGTTTACCCTGCCGTAAGACAAAAAAACATCACATCCAGATGGTGTGGACGGTATCGCGAATTTAGTCATAACGTGTGATGGTGGAATTTGGCGGCTGGATTTAATCCGAACAATTCCTCTGAATACTCCCTTTGGTAAATGCGATAGAAAATGCAAAAGATACAATATTACTTCGCAGTGCCAGTAAATCGAGCCGAACAGAAAGAACTCTGTTGTCAACAATACAGTCCGCTTTTCTCTGGGTGCGGTCTAGTGAAAGGAACTAGCACTAGGGCCCAGAGATGAGAACAGTATTCTATGTAAAGCTAAACTAAGAAAAGAGAATATGATGATAGGCCTGTAGTTTGACGGGTCTGAGCGGTCACCTTTTTAGGTACCGGGTGCGCTAAAGCTATCTTTCATGAGCTCAAGTACTATGCATAGGAAGTAGGAGTACGGGAAAAGACGCATTCGAACCGATTCTAACGTCCGGGGAGAGTAGTGCTTTGGCTACTGAGCACTGTTTAAGTCGTACATCCTCATTGAAGTACTTGACTGAGGGCAGGCCTCTGTCACTCATGCTACCTGCGTGAAGTAACTACTTACAATAGCACGGAACCTCAGATACATAGGCAATACGGGCTAACGCGTTTTAGGAGGCGACGTACTGGTGAATTGCAAAGTTTTTTAAAACTGTTTACGTAAATAATTTTTTGTAAATACTTGCTTAAATATTTTTTGTTTATTATTAAGTATATTTAGTTATAGGATAAAATATTTGTATAAGTTTAAGTGTAATTTATATGTATATTATAGAAAATACATGCATTAACAATTTTGAAAACATAATAATGAAAAATAGTACAATTAAATTACAGTAGGTGGCGCGCGTATCGTATCGACATATTTATTTGAAAGTCATAATATGTGACTCAATTGCAGTAAATGTATTATTATTCCTAATTAGACAATAATACCCTTCCAAATTTAAAACGATTTTTCCACAGTTTTTTTCTACGACAGCATCGCGCCGAGTACCAGCTAGTAAAATATAAAAAAGATATATTAATGTGTGTTACATACATGTAGCAATTATATATCTACAAGCTTTAATTTCCTTATATATTCTTCTCTCCACTTTGTTGAATTATCTCCACTGAAAAATAATTATGAAAGCACTGAAGGGATCAGCCGTGTCAGAACTCTTCAACTCTCGCATAAACGAATTTCAACGGGAATTCGAGAAGACCACCCCAACATCAGCCACAAACGCTTCGGTACTGGCAGCTGAATTTGCAACTTTTAGGAAGTTCATCTTATCCGCTTTAGAAATAGTCCAGAAACGTAGAATTTCTTGGAAGGGAGATTGATCGTTTAGAGATGAGACGCCGACGTAAAGTATTGCTGCTCCATGGCATAGCGGATTATAAGACTAACGATACATCTATACTCGTCTCACGAGGAAATATTTGTTCGCCGCCACAGCTCAAGTTGTCGAAAATTGGTGCCGCAACGAATCGGTTAATTGACTTTATACTTCTTTTTATTTCCTTTTTAGGTTGTCTGGGAGAAATTGCTGTATAGCAATAAGACCGCCTTTTGTTTTTCACTCTGTTTTGTTTCTTATGTTATTTGTTTTTCTTTAGTGTACAATAAAGGGTATTGTATTGTATTGTACAAGGATGGAAAAGGTGGCTGACAGAAGTTACCTTGGACAGTCTCGTTGCGAGACCCGAATTCACGGGATACCCAAAGATGAATTATTTTCTCGCCAATTTGACGATGTGCGCTACACTTACTGTGGCAATAATTCATTTGATTGACATACGGAATAATACTTTTTTTTACTTATTATAAGCCATAGCTCGACCACAATCCCACCTGGTTTGTAAGTGGTGATGTAGCCTTAGATGGTAAATCGCACTGTCTTATCGTAACAAAAGCGTATTCACTCTTGCCTTGAAGATGCCCAGATTGTATTCGGATGGAAAGATCGACGCCGGCAAATTATTCCACTCCTTTGCTGTACGCATTACAAAAGGCGAAGCAAATCGTTTGGTTCTAATGCGTGGAATATCGACAATAAAGGGATGAAGACCCGCCGACCGCCTGGTTGTCCGATGGTGGAAAGGACAGGGAGGAATTAAAGCGTGTAACTCCTACGCACACTGACCAAAATGCATCCTATAGAATACCGAGAGACTGGCTACTCTGCGCCTGTGCTCGAGGCTGACAAGATTGGTTTCAACCAAATCAAGGTCACCAATGAGCCTCTTAGCACGTCTCTTCACTGAGTCCAATGCTGCCAGGTAGCATTTTGCAGCACCAGCCCATATGTGACAGCAGTACTCCATGCACGACTGGACTTGCGCTTTATATAAGGTAAGAAGCTGCCCCGGCGTAAAGTACCGCCGCACCCTTGCAAAACACCAAGTTTCCTTGCGGCTGCTTTGGCTCTGGACTGAATGAATTGCCCATAGTTTAGGTTCGGAGAAAATTCAATCCCTAACAACTGAAGGCGGTCAGTGTACTCCGAGGATACATTCCGGAAAGTAGGAGCCAAGGTGAGCGGGCTTTTTTAGCGGTAAAAAGACACGCTTGTGTTTTGGAGGCGTTAAATCTCACGAGATTGGCATCGCCCCATTCGGAGACTGCCTGTAGTGTGAGACTCACACACTCAACCTCTCTTTCTGACTGGATTTGATCCCGACTGGCCCGGGCACTTGGTTGGTATCTCTCCACAACTGTGCTGTCGTCTGCATAACCATAGATACCGGGAATGAACAGATCATTTATATGCAGCAGGAAGAGAGTTGCGGAGAGAACGGACCCCTGAGGAACACCGGCGTTAGTCGTTAGTTTAGTTTAGAGCGCTGATGCTAGAATCCCAGGATGTCGATGCGTCTCTTCTGTTTACGGCGTGATGCAATTTTACAGTAGTGTCCAAAACATGGCTAGGATGTGCCTTCCAAGGGCACAACCGACGATAGAATAAAGAAATTCGATTCCGTAAAGTACCACATCAGCATAAGAGTCAGCAATAACATTGAGATCGAATGGCGAGGAGCAAATCCGCCATGAGTTGGATATGATACTCCGCAATGTAATTCGGCATAATGTTCATATAATTAACATTTTATCTTATTTTATGCATTGATATCGCTAAACTTTAAATTTTTTTTGTTCATAGCTTTTCGTTATTCTACTGGCGACGGGGAGTATAAAGCAGATGCTTTGCGATTAGCCAATTGCCTGGTTAATGTCCGTGCGATCATACAGCACTTCTCAGCTAAGATTGATTCTTGGCTCCATTCTGAAAATCTTTCTACACCCACCGAAGAACAGGTAATGTCTTAAGAAGTAAGTTTGACAGGCCTGTTGGTCTAGTGGTTAGTGACCCTGACTGCTATGCCGGAGGTCGTGGGTTCGATTCCCACCCAGGACAAATGTTTGTGTGATGAGCACGATCATTTGTTTTGTGTCTGGGTGTAATTTATCTATAATATTTATGTATTTAGAAATATATAAGTATGTTTATCAGTTGTCTAGTACCCATAACACAAGCTCTGCTTAGCTTGGGACTAGATGGCGCTGTGTGATAGTTGTGGAATAATATTATTATTTTGGGGTATCTATAAAGTTTTCTCATCTGGTTGGGCAGTATAAATATATAATTGTAAATGAAAATGGTAAACATACATAAATATGAATAAAATAAAATAAATACATAAAAAATACATAAATATATAAAAACCCAACCAGATGGAAGCCCTCGGCAGGGGAGACCAGACGGCCGAGGGTTAGGGGGAAAGGGAAGGATATATTATTATTATTATTTTTGGGGTATCTATAAAGTTTTCTCATCTGGTTGGGCAGTATAAATATATAATTGTAAATGAAAATGGTAAACATACATAAATATGAATAAAATAAAATAAATACATAAAAAATACATAAATATATAAAAACCCAACCAGATGGAAGCCCTCGGCAGGGGAGACCAGACGGCCGAGGGTTAGGGGGAAAGGGAAAGAAACCGGCGGACGATGCGGGCGGTATCGAGGAGCACCGCCTTCTGCATTTGAGCCTGGAGCGGTCCGTCACGGAGTCCCAGTCGCCTCAGATGATCCGGGAGGCTGACTGGGATTAACCCATTCGCAGAAACGACCACAGGAATAATTTCGGTCGGCAGACCACCCCACATGCCGGTAACCTCGTGAGCCAGGTCCAGATATTTTGTCACCTTATCTGTTTCGGCTTTCACGAGGTTCTCGTCATAAGGAATGGTAATGTCGACCAAAAAGATCCTTGACTGTGCCCGGTCCATCAGCACAATATCAGGCTTATTCGCAAGAATAGTCCTGTCTGTGATGATGGCCCGGTCCCAGTAGAGCCTGGCGCGGTCATTTTCGAGCACGGCTTCCGGCAAGTACTTATAATACGGCAGTTTCCGATCCACGAGGCCGTATTTCAGAGCGAGCTCCTGGTGTAGAATCCTGGCTACTAGATTGTGTCTGTGCAAATACTCAGAGTTAGAAAGCGCCGAACAACCGGAGATGACATGCCTAAGTGACTCACCGGGATGGCGACAAGCTCGACAGATGTCGACGGCGCCATCCTTTAGGATGTATTTCCGATAATTGTTGGTCTTAATAACCTGATCCTGTATCGCACAGACAAAACCCTCGGTTTCCCCAAAGAGGTCACCGAAACGTAGCCAGTGAAGGGAGGCGACTGTGTCTACGAAAGGCTCATGTAGAGCCTTGTAGAACCTCCCGTGGAGCTCCTTCTCCTTCCATACGGTCTCCCGGTCGGAAATGCACTGTACTGCTGGGTCTTGCCATTGCTCGTTGGCTAAGGATAGAGGGGTCAGTCCTTTATCACAAGAAATAACGTCCCTATAGTATGGATCATCCGCTCTCGTCAGAAAGTAATTACGGAGGCTGCACACTTCGCGATTATGCATGGTAAGCGCGCTTAAAAAGCCGCGGCCGCCATGCTTCCGCGGCAAGTACAGCCTCATTACTGACGATCTCGGATGATGCATCCTGTGGGACGTCATTATAGTGCGGACTTTTCTGTCCAGAGCGTTTAGTTCGGTCTGAGTCCACCTAAGTATGCCAAAGGTATACATGAGAACAGGCATGACCCAACCGTTATATGCGTGCGTCTTATTCACACCGGACAAAAGGCTGTTAAGCACTTTGGTCAAGCGTGCATAAAACACATCGCAAACTGACTGTTTCATACCCGCCTCATCTACACCAATGTTCTGTGACATACCCAGGTATCGGTATGTTTCAGCCTCGGAAAGGGTCCTTATGTTGATGGGCATAGATAAATCTATGCCCTCAGAGTTAGCAACCCTTCCCCTTTCAACATGGAGGACTGCACACTTATCCGTCCCCAGCTCCATTCTAATAGAATTGCTAAAATCACAAGTGATGTTTAGCAATTCCATAAGATGAGAGCGACTGGAGGCGAATAACTTGAGATCATCCATATAGAAAAGGTGGGTCACTTTTGTACCTCCCCTCCGAAGCTGAAATCCCCTCCCGGAGCCCTCCAGTAAGGTACTGAGAGGGTTCAGAGAGAGGCAGAACCAGATTGGACTCAGACAATCGCCCTGGAAGATACCCCTTCTTATCCTTATGTGGTTCTCCGCAGCCGTCATCCGCTCGCCTAGATGACAAAGAATCGTACTCCACTGCCCCATACACTGCCCAAGGAAGTCTCTAACTGTACAGTCAACCTTGTACAGCTCGAGGACCCTCTCCAGCCATGTATGAGGCACCGAGTCGAATGCCTTTTTGTAGTCTATCCAGGCGGCGGATAGGTTCCGACGGTTGCGTTTAACCACTTTGCCAATGACCGCGTCAATGAGGTGTGGTTCCTTGGTTCCACGACCACCGCCCCGACATCCATTTTGAGCGCGCGACATCACCTGATTTGAGTTCAGGTGACGAGTGATTCTCGCGCTCAAAATGGATGTTAGTGTCTTATATATCGTGGGTAGACACGTGATGGGGCGGTATTTGCTCGGGTCTATGGTATCCCGGTCTTTAGAAACCAAATGAGTGATCCCAGTAGTGAAGAGGCTCGGGAGCGACTTTTGGTCGAGAGCCTCTTGAAATTGTCGGGCGAGCACAGCGTGACACACCACGAACCCCTTCAGCCAGTAGTGATGCAGCCCGTCGAGCCCCGGACTTTTCCAGTTCGGGGCCCTTCGGACCGCCTCAGCTACATCGTCCGGCGTTATAATGACGGGGTCCATGGGCGTAAGATTCGCACACTGACTCGCCACAACTTCCGTCCAAGGGCCCTCGCGGTGGTTTACGGGCTCTGACCACAGGCCGCGCCAGAATGCAACAGTGTCGGCCTGATTCGGTGCTTGGCCCGTTCCACGTACCATTGGTCGCTCCAATGATTTATATAGCCTCTACTGATCATTCTGGAAGAGACGATTCTGGTTGAACCGTGTCGACCTCTCGGTATATCGCCGAATCCGCTTCCCCCAAGCAGCGATTCTCTGCTTCAGGTCGTCTATGCGCTCCGTCAGTTTTTGCGTTATATCCGGCTGGGACAAACTGATATTTGTCCCAGCAAACGCCATTCTGACGGTGCGCACAATTCGCGGCCTATTATTGCCCGACCTGAAGCTTATCAGCCTGCCGATGAGGGCCCTTGCCTTTACGATACGGTCCTCAATCCTTCTTCTCCAGGCTGGGATGACGCTACTTTGTCTAGTAGCGCGTCCAGCCGTGGGAAGTTTGGCGCCAACAATACGACAAACTGCCAGTGCGGCGCCAAAAAGAATTGAGTCCGTCTCGCAAAGGTCCCGGCTGGCTTCCAAATAGCCCGATCACGACAGCCCGATTCCGCTTGCTTAGGGGTATGCGCGGGAGTCGCGGTCGATTTTCGAGAGGCGTACTGCGCGTTTCCACAATCGCCTCCTCCAATTTACTCCTCATCTGCTCTAGTTCTTGGGTGACCATTCCATCATCGCCTGAATCAACCAGAGCAGGGAGATCCATGGCGCCCTCTATATGTGGCTGCTGGTCTGTGGCCTGAAGAGCCGCATCCCCAGCTCTAGCCGGTTCATTCGATGAGGGAATAGCCTCACGTCGTAGTCGTTCGAGTTCGGCATCATCAAATATTTTCGAGCGTATGATGTACCGAACTCGGTCTGCCAGGTTTTGCTCCGTGACGGGAACTGAAGGAACTCAGCAAAAAAGCGATGCATCCGAGCCCGATACGCTATCCCTCCAGTTTCTTCCCCTTTCGCCCTATAGTACGCCCGCAATGCGTTTATGTTCATATGTTTTGTCCAACGCATGCGGCGTATTCCACCAGCGGCGGGTGCCGCTTGCCGAGTCCGAGAGGACCCCGCCGACACCAAGCCGTCTGGTGGGGATGATGGACGCGAGGGGCTGCTAGGTGGTCGTGCAGCACCACGATATTATTATTATTATTATAAGTCTAGTCTTTCATTTTAAAAAAATATATGTCGTTGACGTATGTGCGTGCGTGCATGTTACACTATCTCTATTTTGACAGTTGCCTTTTCTCCAATATAAGTGTAAAGATTTTACGGGTTTGATAATATTTTACTAATGTTATAAAAAAATTAGACTAATAGGGAAGGTTGAAAGTTACGTTTCAACATTTTAACATGTACGTGGGGTGATCAAAAGTAATGATAATCGGTTATTTATAGCGGACATAAAAATTAAAAAAATAAATGTTTTTATTTTTTGTTTGCTAATGTACTCGCTAGGTCTCGGGATTCTCGGGAGGTATATTCATTTGAATACGAATCATCGAAGAGAACTTCAAAATGAACAAAAACGAAATTAGAGCTGTCATCAAGTACCTCTGTTTAAAAAAATCTACCAAAGACATACACAGCGACTTGGTGGAAATATTGCGAAACTCTGCTCCTCCATATTCTACAGTTGCACGCTGGGACAAGGCGTTTAAGCTGAGCAGAACATTGACGGAATATGAACATCACAAAGGACGCCGATAACGTGAAAAAAGTCGAAGATGTCGTATTGGCAGATCTAAGACTGGCTTTCAGGTATATAGCTGAGGTCACAGGGATCTCATGTGGCAGTGTTCATAGAATCCTTGCGAATGAATTGCATAACAACAAGTGATAAATTAAAATTTTGTACAACCGACTTCAATATAAATAAAATGAGAACATCATCAATGTAGTCGAAGTCAGTTAAATACACATTATAAAGGATAACTCAAAAACTACTGGTCAGACCTTGATCATTCTTGACAATTTGTATGGGAGCTTTCAAATTAAAAATCATCATCAAAATCGGTTCACCTAGTAAAAAGTTCTGAGTCATATGATGCAGTCGAATTGAGTACCTCCTCCTTTTTTAAAGTCGGCTAAAAAGCACTCCGCGCGGGGTACCGAGAATGTTAACCGACGAGCAAAAGAAAAAACGAGTCGGTATTTCGAGGTTTCGTGACAAATTTTTTTCTTGATGTGCTTGGAACCTTTCGAGATACACGAAAGGTTCCAAGTACATCAGGAAAAAAAAATTGTCACATTTCGTGACCATGGACGAGATGTCAATCCACCGTTTTGACCCTAAAACCAAACAACAATCAACAATGGTTTGAAAACGAGCCTCCTCACCGACGCCGAAGAAAGCCAAAGTGTCAAGTTCGTCGGGTAAGGTTATGGAGTCCATTTTTTGGACGCTGAAGGAATAATTAGGATGGAATATTAGGAAAAGAGAGCCACAATTTCGGGTTCTCACTACACAGGCCAAGAAAATTGCGGGAGGCTATTAAGGAAAAAAATCATCCAATCCATTCTGCAAGATGAAGTGCTGTTTCGCCAAAATAACGCTCCTGCTCACAAAGACGCAATTGCGATGGCTTTATCCCTATACCTACTCCCAGTGACTTCTATCTATTTCCTTGGCTCAAGGATCACCTTTGAGGCAAGAAATTTGTAGACGATAGCGAAATGATGATGCTGATAATTTTTTGGAGCGTCAAGATAATTTTTTTTTTTTATGAATTGTGGGTTTAGAAAAAAGATGGGACTAAAAAGATGCATTGACTTGTTAGGAGACTGTGACGAAAAATAAATTATTTTTGAAATCTAATCACTGTGTTTGATCTTTATTATCATTACTTTTGCATCATATTGGGTAATTGTTTTAAATTTACTAGAAAAATTGAGACATATTTGATAAAAACTACTTTTGTTACTAAACTTTACTCGTCATTACGAATGTCCCATGCATCTCCTACGTCATAAAGGGTAGTCATTCCTGAGGACTTATATGAAATGTCTTGTTACTCATAAAACGTTTCCGATTCTTTTTAATGACAATACGTAGCAGGAGCATTTTACTGCTATTTTACGTTGGTTTTCTGTGAGAGCTTAGTCCTTTCCTGGTCGAGCAAATCTATTCGTGCAGCCATAATACAGCTGCAGCGTGACTCTACCACATGGTAACCTTCATAGCTTTGTTTTGTAATTTATATTCAGAGAAGTAGTGCGAGCAGTGGATGATTATCAAGCAATAAATTTAATATCTCTTATTCCTAAGAAATTAGACAAGATTTAGAATCTTACTTAAGTCAGTGTATAATATAATAACGCGCCATAATAACATCTCATTTTATTCTAAAACTAGTCTCGAGCCGGCCCCGATGATAGTTTACAAATATTCCTTTGCAGATTTTAGAAGTGGTGCGCAATAGCTACGACAGTCTCATACTGAAGTTACAGGAAGGATTGGAGGCATACGAGAGGTATTCGGAACGACATTACCGAGCCCTTTTAGTGAAATTGGTCCGATCGGCGGCGGCGCGCGCGCGAGCCTCTAGCGACGCAGCCGCGCTGCACCGCCACTCCGCCGCCTTGCTCTCGCACTACACCACGCTCACCTGAACACACTCATGCACACACACACACACACACACACACACACACACACTCTCGCGTAAACACACCTCCCTAAATAAACACGCTTACGTGAAAACACCTCCCTCGACACCATTTCCTTAAATGAACACTTGCATAATATAAACCTTTTTTTTCACTCTCGCGTTATACACTTTGTAAACGTTTCCGCGTAAAAACAACTCCCTCTTAAACACTAACGTAAAGTTATATCATTTAATCACGGAGCAAATGCAAAGAGGTGTTGTAATTAGATTGCACTATGTAACAACACATGACAATTTGCGGGGTGAGGGGATGTTAAACCCCGCTCACTTTACTATTTTCCGTCTACCGATAAGTAGTAAAACTATTCGCAATGTTCCAAATTGATGTTGCAATGTAGTTTAACTACCTTGACGAGAGATGGCGGCCTGTTCACAAAATTATTATAAAACTATAATAATACTATTTTGGCGATGAAAAACTATTTAGGACGGAATGCAAAACAAAGAGCAATGGCAGAAAAATAGTTGACAAAAATTATAGCGTCTAGAAATAAGTTATATATAAAATGAGTTTTATTATTTTTCTATGATTTTTCAAATAAAAATGTATTTTAATTAAAGCCACAGAAAAAAGCAAACATTTTTGGGAATATCAAATGACTGAATTCATTTTACTCTATTCAAATGTTGCCATTTAGTATATTCCTACTATTTTCGTATACACTTTGTAACACTACCAACACAACACACAAAATATTTTTATATTAAGTTATTATTAGTAATAACTGTACTATCGGTAATAACAAAAATAAAAGTAATATGGCTGAGAATAAGTCTCTTACAAAGAATTTCCTACGGTAATACATTATCTCAATCATAGTACTATGTAACAATTCCATTTAATGTTATGCCAACACTAGCTAAAATAAAATGTCACTGTTTTTTTTTTACTGGATTTACGGCTCTGGGTTCTAGCCCTTCTGAGAATGTCACTATGGTACAAAAGCCCTGGAGCCATGCCAGAAATATACATTTATAGTATGCAAATATATAATAGAGATACAATAATCTAAAAACTTTCATTTATGTATTATGTATTAAGCTAACATCAAACAACCACAGGAAGCATTACTTTTTCCAAGCGACATAGGACATAACCTAAAAAGGTTCAAATGTAAATATCTTTTTTTTGACGCCTTCTCAGTACAAAATTCTTTGACAAAATTATTAAGGGACTGACGCTTAACATTTTAAGATATTTTTGGTATATAGACGCTACCATTTCTTCTCAACTAATTTTATGTATGAAAGTCTGCCATTGCTCTTTCAACACCTTCGTATGATACCAATACTGAGCTCTACGTACCTTTATATTTTTTGTTCCCATATATTTAATTACATTTGAAAGCCGACGCAGAGATTTTTCTAGAACCTTTTTAATAAATTAGGTATAAAATTACTTACAAATGAAATGTGATGCCATCCATAGTATCAAAGCGTCTATCTGAGTAGGTTTTACACGATGAAACACAGCACTTCATCCTTTTCTTCTTAATACTACGAAAATAAACCGATTTGCGATTTTCTACACATAAGCGCACAGGACGAACGCTGACAGTATACTAAGTAAAGCCACACCCACCGTGATAACGTCAAGACCTAGTTAAAATCACAGTGCACAGTTGCTTATGCCATCTCCTGTTTGTATTTGCTTCGTGCATTTGTATTTACGTAGACACATCTTTGTTTAATAACCTCGTTAAATGCATGTCAATAAGCAGCATTTGACAAAGAATTATTTTTTTTTAATCAAATAAAGCGTAGGTACCCAGAATTGCAGTTTTATTAAGTAAATATGTAAACTAGACTAAAATATTTATAAACCTTATAAATTGTGTCATTGAATATGGTTGAGTTTTCCGTTCTCTTATTATATCTTAGCCGTTAAGTTCAAATATATACCGAAGAGCATTCTATACTAATAACTTATGCTTATGAATGATATATTATGTGTCTATGTATAAGCTTTTGTAACGTTAGAAAGGTTACCAATGTTAATTGACATAATTGATGAGTAGAATATAGATGTATGTAGATGATATTGCGTTAGTAATAAATTTAATTTAAGGTTTTATACCAAATCGTGAAAGATGACCTGGACAAGTGGATAATAGAAAATGAGAATATTTCACACATATGCAATGTGTTTAAAAAAGCAAATATCAAGTAACATAGAGAATATGTTTAAATTTAGCTTTACCCTAGTAGATAATATGAAACAGAAAACTGCTTTAGTCGTTATATCTTTGAAGAGGATTGTTTCTTATGACAATTTAAATATAGATAAAAATACCTGAGTATTACCAGTGTAATATTTGTTAATGAATGGCATGGGCCTCACTTTTTTGCATAAAATTACTTACTAAAAATGTTCACAAAACACTACATGAACATTTCATTTCACTTTTGTGTGTAGAAAGAATTGAAAGTGTGAGTTAAGTTATAATGAATGTTTTACTTAGTTAATAAAAAATTGCAAATAATATAACATATATGTATAATGTAAATTACTTTACAATGAAGTTACTAAGTCAGTATAACAACATTATACAAAGACTTTCGATATTTATTTGAAAAAAAGTTGTATTTTTTATTCTAATAAAAGACTGAATATATATATTTGTTTTAGTGCTATTACAACATTAATATGTTTTTTTCTGACGCTAAAAATTGAAGAAAATCACCTTTCTCATGATGCAATCCGAAAGTGGGTATAGGATCTCAGTGACGGCACTAAATAGAACGATCGTGTTTGAACTCATTTGAAGGGGTTCATAAAGACCTAGGTGACTGTTATGATCTCACCTTTCTGATGATGCAATCCGAAGGTGGGTATAGGATCTCAGTGACGTCACTAGATAGAACGCTCGTGTTTGAATTAAATTGAAAAGGCTCATAAAGACCTAGGTCACTGTGATGATATTACCTTCATGATGGTGGATGTTGTATGTAGTCTCCAATAAATTCAAAGTATAATGTTGGTAAAAGTAAAGAGAGACTACCCTCTTTATAATAATCGCAATATCATGTATGGTGTTAACAAAGCAATAAAGCAGTCTTAGCATACGTGACGTTTTACTTAAACTATAAAATACTATAACATGGTGTCAAGTGTGGTAAATTCGTGATAAATAAGTGTAAAGAAAGTAAATAAACCTAGCAAGCTAACAGCATAGCAAAGTGGCGAAGCAATCAGCTTTGTAGCGGTTTCTAACGGTTGCCGTAGAGCAATCAGTTTCAAAATAGGAGGTTCAGATGCCTGGGTGATCAGTAATCGATTGCTGAAAACAGAATTTGAAAATTCAAAACCGTTCTCGAGATAATCGTGGGACAGACGGACAGACATCGTGAAATCAATAAGTGACTTCGCAAGCTTCGCCACTTAATAAGTCAGTTTCGTATTATTGTTTATACTAAAACTGGTAAGCAATGCCTTATAATAAAGAGGAAAGTATGACGTATGCTTCGTTACAACAACCGCTGCTACTAGCACAGGACGGCAACTTGGCAACGAATTTGCGAGAATGGAAATCAGCATTTGACTATTTCCTAATTGCTTCGGGAAGAGAAACAGCATCTTCTAAAGAGAAGTGTGCATTATTTATGCATGTTATCGGCAAACAAGGACGTGAAATATATGAGGAGCTTGACATCAGTGAAGTCGAAAGTCATGACTACAACACATTGTGTCAAAAGTTTAATGAGCACTGTGACCCAAAAAGAAATATTAATTATGAAAGGCACGTATTTTTTGAAAGTTATAAAAATGAACAAAACTTTTTGGGATCTCTGAAAATAAAAGCTAAAAATTGTGAATTTGGATCTCTAAAAAACAGTCTTATTTTGACACAGCTGATTCGTGACCTGAAAGATGGGCAAATGAGAGAAAAACTTTTGTCTAAAGCGACCCTAACGGTAGAAGAGGCAAGTGGATGGTGCAGAGCAGCAAAAAGGGCTGGCAAGCAAGCAGCAAGGTGCAGTTCACGACAAACATGTGTAAGCCGTACCGTGGAATACATGCAGTCAAGATATAAGCGCATGCCGAGCAAAATCACGTTGAGGAATGTGAGGAATCCTATACGTGATCAGGACCGTCAGCGAACTACTCATGATTTTCGTAATAAACGCGACGAGAAATCGATGAACGTTGGCTATCATCCTAAGGAATAAATTACGGGGTAATAATAATAATTGCAATTAGTGTAATTTAGGGCATGGTGTTCGTGATAAGTGCCCGGCGTATGCAGTAATAAAATGTTACCGATGTGATAAAGTAGGTCATTATGCAAAGTGTTGTCGCGCGTGTTCTGCACGAGAAGTGTTGGACGCTGACGGCGCGGGCAATGGTATTCATGATGAGGAGGATTGTAGCGAGAATAGTGATGTAGACAATGGTGAGTTGTTAATGTATAATATATCTATCGAGGCTTCAGATAACTCTCGAGAGTCGTGGTATTCCTATATTAAAGTAAATGGAGTAATTGTAAAGTTTAAGTGAAGACATATCCTAGTATCCCTTATATGTCTTCTCTATATAATATTTACTGTGTAACTATATAATAATTGTGTATTATTTGCCAATACTTTTTCTTTATAATAAAAGGGATATGTAAGTAGTCTCCAGTAAATTCAAAGTATAATGTTGTAAAAATAAAGAGAGACTACCCTCTTTATAATAATCGCAATATCATGTATGGTGTTAACAAAGCAATAAAGCAGTCTTAGCATACGTGACGTTTTACTTAAACTATAAAATATTATAACAGTGGACTTAGAAATTGGGGTAAAAGATCTCAATTGTGCCACTACGAAACACCATCGTGTTTGGGCTCATTTGAAAGGGCTTAAGTAGCCTAAGAAATATGCCATGATTTTAATAATAAGAAGTAACTAGTTGAAATACCCTTTCAGCTTTATTGTGGTTTGTCGCTTATTACCAAA